TTATATCAAGAGATGAGGTTTCTAATCAATCTGGTTAAAACACAGATACTATTTTGTTTCATTTTTTATAGTTCAAAAGTTCGTTTTACTTGCCTTTACAGTCAGGGCCTATTTTAAGGATTATTTGAAGAAGCCCAGTCTCCGTGTCAATGCATATTTTGGGGGGGCGGGGGTCCGTGTGGGTTCGCTCCCCCCGGCTCCGAGAAAATTTTCAAAATTCGACCGCCAGAAACACCATTTACGAGTAGAAAGTGATCAGTTCAATGTAGCTCCTTAGCTTTCAGAAATTGTGACCAAACAGATCATGAACTATGAACAAAACAATCGGATAAAACTCACCAGGCAGAAGTAAACTAATAACTTCCAGAATTATTATCACACTACTTACACTTTTAATAACAAAGAATTGACTGACAGATTTATGTATATCCGACCGCTTGTCAGGGCATCGGATGTTCAAAGAAAAGTCCAAAGTCGATTCAAAGAATCAGCCTTGGGCCCGTATTTTCGATGCGATTTTCGAGAAATGAAGGGTCTGTAACTTCTCTTCTGACAGGGATAAAAACACACTGTTATATCTCATTTCGGGACTAACATATGGCCCAATTTTATTTCAATAATTCGCTTGCACGTAGGGGTCTTTAGCAGTGGGAGGAAACCGGAGGAACTGGAGAAACCTCATGAGGTTGGACAGGCAACCCTACTCCTTGTCACGTACAACCGGGGAATCGAAACCATGCCAATTGACTCAATGACAGACTTTATGATACAAAGCGCACATACTAACCAATCGGCCATCCACCCCCCATTACTAAAAGAAAATGAAATGAAGTAACGTCCTACTGTTCTGCACCGATTGGACTGATGAAGACAGTGTGCTATGAGGGACATTTTGCCCGGACAGTGGCACTATGGCCTACTCTGACAAGGAAGAACCATGCCAGAAAATAATAGAAGAACTTTCTCGGCCAACGCAGGGATGGAATACGGGACAAATAGTTCTAATTTTATTATATTTATTTTATTTATTTACTGACATGACTCAATCGTTATGACATAAAATAACAAGATAAGCACACATGTATACATGCAATACTTGATAATCAAGTCTACAATCCTAACTAGATTGCAAGGTTCTGGATAAAATGAATAAATGAATATTTACAAAATATGACATGACATGACATGGAGGCCCAGGAATATATTTCAATTGACTTAATTATTATTGAAACCAAACACTTCCACATAAAGTCAATCAAAGAATTAAAATCTGTTACACTTTTTTTTCCTTTCCTACATACTTTGTCAAAACATTTTAGTAAAAAGTTGATTTAATTGGCTGAACTATTATTGAAACCAAACACTTCCACCCAAAGTCAATTAAAGAATTAAAATCAGTTACACTTTCAATATACTTTGTCAAAACAATAGGTCTGTTTATTTGAGTGAAAAAGTCTACTTGTCCGTGGGCTGGATCATGAATGGCGTAAACAGCAGGATGGTTAATTTATTTGTTGATGATAATAAAATATTTTGGTGGGAATGTAAACTGAAACTGACCTTTGACCTTATTAAAGAATACTTGAAACAGATTTTAGTGAAATGTAGAGTTATGTTTGATACTATTTTCGTTGTTTTCTTGATGTTCGCTGATTTTGGAAAACAATTTGATTATTAAACACAGCCATTTGGCTAAAAAATATCATGACAGGCTAACGCACCAATATAGAATCTTTGTATGATGAACTGAGTTCTACAGTTAAAGAGAGAGAGAGAGAGAGAAATGGGGTTTAAAGTCCACTCGACACAAACTAGGTCATTTCGGGACTAACATATGGTTTAATTTTATTTCAATAATCCGCTTGCGCATAGGGGTCTTTACCAGTGGGAGGAAACCGGAGGACCCAGAGAAAACCCACGAGGTTGGACAAGCGACCCTACTCCTTGTCACGCACAACCGGGGATTCGACTCCAGTTAAAGAATCCTACTTGACAATGATAACTCAATCCAGATCTCAAGTGACAGTCTATATTAATAAACTAAAGTGTTCGTGACTAACACCAAAGGGCATTAGAAAGGTTGTTAATATACAAATGTTTCAATTTTTGGTTTCCTAACTCTAAATTTTTAAAATAAAATAAAAGATAACAATATGAAGAAATATAAAAAATTATACCAAGTGCACAGCAGCAGCTCGACTTTAAACCTTCCCTTTAACTCCTCTATCATTCAAAATTTTACAACTTTGTACGAATTACGAGCGTATATCATTGTATTAACCACTTTTGTTTAAACAAGTCCTTTCATGATAGTTTTCACAAGTCTTATAAGTTGTATATTTCATATTTAATAACTTTCACCTCCTATAAGTTGCTGTGTATTTCAAGTCTTATAAGTTGATGTGTATTTTACCCCCTATAAGTTGTTGAATATCTCACTTCTCTTATAAGTTGCTGTACTGGGTACATTTCATGCCTTATTTAAGATGCTGTCTATTGTCTGTTGTTGTATAATTTCCTCCAAATTGGTGGGATACGATTAGTCCCATGGGACGAGTTGTCCGGGGTCGAATTGTCCCGTACCCTCTGTTTCCACACTCTAAGACCGTAATGAACAGAACTGCTGGAATATCTCGAGAATGTGAATATCAACGTTGCTTGTAAAGAGAAGTTCTTCCAATGTACTCACATACTTGTACACTAGATAATGATGCTGTAAAATAAACATAATAATATTGATTAAACATAATATTAACTAAAATCTGTGATGGGTGTCATGTATGAGGCAGTGTATACTTATTGATTCTAAACACTTAATATCTGAGACAAAAGGGAAAGAGAATGGAATGGAACTGGGTTTAAAATACTTTATCCATTGTGGGACTAACATATGGTAAATTTACATGACAGCAATAATTCTATTGTTATGTATGGGGGGGGGGGAGTATTTTGCCTCGAGAGCAAGAGAGAGAGAGAGAGAGAGATGGGGTTTAACGTCCACTCGACACAAAGTAGGTCATTTCGGGACTAACATATGGTTTAATTTTATTTCAATAATTCGCTTGCGCGTAGGGGTCTTTAGCAGTGGGAGGAAACCACGCCAGTTGACTCAACGACAGGCCGTATGATAAAGCAGGCACATGCTAACCACTCGGCCATCCAACCCCCCGCCTCGAGAGCAGCATTTTTATCTAATCTTCATCAAATTCTAACTGCAAAGGGTTATTTTATGTGCATGCCAATGTTAACATGGGTGGGTCAGGCTTAAAATATTACGAAAATTCTTCAGACCCAGGATATTCTAACATATGGTTTGATTTTATTTCAATAATTTGCTTGCGCATAGGGGTCTTTAGCAGTGGGAGGAAACCAGAGGACCCTGAGAAAACCCACGAGGTTGGACAGGCGACCCTACTCCTTGTCACGTACAACCGGGGATTTGAAACCACGCCAGTCGACTCAATGACAGACTTTATGATACAGAGCGCGCACACTAACCATTCAGCCATCCAAGCACAATATTTACCGAGCCAGGGATTATTTGAGTTAATGACTAATTACCTGTAAGAATATTTGTTGTAATCGTTCTATTACCCATTTATACCAGGCTGTATTATAATCTATACCATCAGATTCACATCTTGCTAAATGTTCTGTCAGTAATATAATAAATCTCTGAAATATATAAACATACTGATAAGCAAGGTGTCTACAACAGAACTATCCCATGACATGTTACACAGCATCTTGTTAAATATTCTATTAGAGAGAGAGAGAGAGAGAGAGAGAGAGAGAGAGAAATGGGGTTTAAGGTCCAGGACACAAACTAGGTCATTTTGGGACTAACACTGGGTTCAATTTTATTTCAATAATTCGCTTGCAAGTATGGGTATTTAGAAACAGGAGGACCCAGAGAAAACACACAAGGTTGGACAGGCAACCCTACTCCTTGTCACGTACAAGAGGAGAATCGAAACCATGCCAACTGACTCAATGACCGATCTTATGATACAACGCTAACCACTCGGCCATACACTCCCCCCACCCCCAAATATTCTATAAGAAATATATCTATATGAACCTCTGAAATGTGACGCACTGAATAAATTTTAATTTTATCTTGTGATAAGCATGGTATCTGGCTACAACATTGTTAATAACTTTAGCAATTGTGGATGACGGACCAACAGACAGGTTTCATATGGTCGTTTATAAATGAATAACAGTATACAAGAACCATTAGGAAAAGCTTCATAATTTTTTAAATACTGCAAGTAATTATGTGAACATATCCTTTCCATACGTATAACACGAACCCGAATGTCAATATTACCTGCAACAGGTAAATTTCAACGTTAGTAATTTCCGCCGTTCTCCGGGAGTAGTTGTAACTTTCCGTCCATAAACAATCTGTGACGTCATTTTAGTCCTTCTGCCCATACTAGTCTATATTTCTATGGGAGAAGGACTAAAATGACTTCACGGATTGTTTATAATGAATGAAATGAAAAGAAATGGGGTTTAATGTCCTACTGTTCTGCTCCGACTGGGCTAAACATGGGCATACACCATACAGTGTGCTATGAGGGAATTTTGCCTGGACAGCGGCACTACAGTCTACTCTTATATCGAATTCCAACTGTCAAGGAATCTTTTACGTGCACACCAATGTGTACACGGGACCTTGGTTTTTCGTACCATCCGAATGACTAGACAGCTGTCCTTGTCAGGCCCTCCATCCTGCATCATCACTGACAAGGGAAAACCACGTCAGAAAATCACGATGAAGTTTCTCCAGGCTAGCAAGCCAGTGTCTTACCTACGGATTGTTTATAAATGAATAATAACAGCAGTATACTAGAAACTTTAAAGAATTAAAACTACCTGGAATATGATAAGGAAAAGACTTTTCTGTTGACTTAAAGCCGTTTCTAATTTATCTTCCATTCTGTCTATAATTTCTGGTGTTGGTATATCATCATCATCGTAACCATCCATATCTAATCCATCCGCAGCCTACAACAAATAAACCATCAGATATATGACATTCAGAAATAACAAAAATGGTATAACCATGCACTTTTATTTTTTCCTGAAACACCTCTGCCAAAGTTGCCCTGCACCTTACCTAGGCATGCGCCTAATGCACCGAAAAATATGGTATTTATAACCAGAATCAGGTGTTCCAAACGCAGTAATAGTACTCCTAGGTCCACACTAGAGCTTTCACTATTTCCAATATTTTATTTATATTTTTAAAGATACTTTCCCAGAAAAATATTTATCGGGTGGTTATTACCAATAAAAGTATGGCAATTTTGGTATATATGGAAAGTAGAGATATCCAATCTTTCTAGAAAAATACTGGATTCCCTGAAAAACACTCATGGGGCATATACAGGACAAAAATGTAAGGATTTCCCTAATCAGCAACCAGACGATTAGGGATGTCTGCTCGAGTGACGTCAAAGTTTGCACGAGAAGATCTCAGCGTTAGTGAGCGCTTGATGTATGTGTTGATAAACTTGATGTTGGGTTTTATCGTACAACAGTTTCTGGGATAAAAACCACGGAAAAAGATGTGGGAAGTGGATAATCCTTGAATTTAATTATACTTTGATATGTATGATAAATAATTAGCAATTACAGACAACGTCGTCTTGTATATGCAATGAATTCTCCCCCGGCTTTGAACCCGTTGCTAGGTACTGTGACCTCTTTTAATTGATTTTTTATAGCATGGTTTCCCTCATAAATTCAATGTTTTGAAAAGGATTTGAAGTAAAATTTGGACAGATTAGTTTGAATATGTTTTTAATCCAAATATATCATCAAATCACACAGTTTGTACGTGGGAAAGTAACTTTAAGTGTTTTTACACTATAAATATAAGTGTATTTATTGTGTTAAATTGTTGAAATGAAATGGGGTTTAACCTCCTACTGTTCTACTCCGAACTGGGCTAATGCATACGCCATACAGTGTGCTAGGAGGGAAATTTTGCCCGGACAGCGGCCCTACAGCCTACTCTTATATCGAATTCCAACTGTCAAGGGATCTTTTACGTGCATGCCAATGTGTACACGGGACCTCGGTTTTTAGTACCATCAGAACGACTAGACAGCTGTCTTTGTCAGGCCCTCCGTCCTGCGTCACTGACAATGGTGAACCACGCCGCAAAATCTGGATGAACTTTCTCGGCCAATGCAGGGATCAAACACCCGACCTCCAAGCTAGCGAGCCAGCGTCCCACTTGTAGAAAAGCAACAGCAGAGAACTTTTAAAATATTGCATGCAGATTAAGTTGTGTCCATATCCTATTCTTATAAAGGTTACAGCCGAAAGAACAAAAAGTTTATAGTGTAATGATTTATATCTAGTTTAGAGAGAGAGAGAGAGAGAAATGGGGTTTAACATCCACTCGACACAAACTAGGTCATTTCGGGACTAACACATGGTTTTTATTTTATTTCAATAATTCGCTTGCGCATAGGGGTCTTTAGCAGTGGGAGGAAACCGGAGGACCCGGAGAAAACCCACGAGGTTGGACAGGCGACCCTACTCCTTGTCACGTACAACAGGGGATTCGAAACCACGCCAGTCGACTCAATGACAGACTTTATGATACAGCGCGCGCCACTAACCATTCAGCCATCCAACCCCCCATCTAGTTTAGAAGAAAAGGTATAAATATTTATTTAAAATACTCACCCTTCTTCTTTGTGCATCTAATTTATCTCTGGCTTCATCAACTTCTTTCTGTAGTTTATCAACTTGTTTACTCATCTTCTTGATGGTAGAATGCATAATCTCCCACATATAGAAACTACAATACAATGGAAACATTTACAATACACTAAAATCCACTAAGATTTTTAAATTGGATGTTAACTTTAGGCGTCTCGTCTCATGACCTGAAACACTGTATAAATTTAAAGTCATTCGAATATTAACTTTAGCCTTTAGAGCATCCAAAAAAATTTTCAAAGTGATCAAGGGCCATAACTCTGGCAGTAATTATTGGATATGGCAGAAAGCCATAGGTTTCTTCGTCTCATGACCTTAAACACTGTGTATAAATTTAAAGTTAATAGAATACTAACTTTAGCCTCTAGAGTATCCACAAGCAATTGTGGACAAACATACCGACGGACAGGGTCAACAACAATATACGACCACATTTCAATGTAGGCGTATAAAAAACAAGAGAAAACAGACTTTAATGTATCGTCAAAATGATACTTTTTCATTATGAGACTAACATATGGTCAGTTTTCACGAGCTATGAATAATCTCCAAGGAATAGAGGTTTTATGCCTTGTCAACACAAGACTTCTTTTGTGGAGCAAGTTATATTGTTAGTATTTGTACCATTTAAATTATTGACTAAGTCAGGCCTCGAGTTCACAAGGCATTCTCAGACTTAATTTAAGAATTCACTCAACTTTTAATCACTGTTTTAAGAGAAATATCTTTGATCCGAAAACACAAAATTTTGTACATAGTTTCTTATTGATATATTTGATACATTAAAACAACAACATTTTTATAAAGGGCTATATTTTAGTTAAAATAAGACAAACAATTTTGAGTAAATTCTTAACCAATCTGATTCAAACACAGCTCCTTTTTTGTTTCGTTTTCTCTAGTTCAAAATTTCGTTTTACTTATCTTCGTTTTGTTATCATTAACGTGTTCTGAATGGTATGAGGGCTTAGCCAATGAAACGGTCTGTTACGGCGAACTTTAGGCATGTTTTGCACGGAATTGTGGGTAATCCACTAGTAACATCAATGCTGATTGGTTAATAAAATGTCTGACATCATAGGGTTAAAAGCCGCTTGTATGACCCCTGACACGACCTATCGCTACAACCGGTCAGATCTTCATGAAGTAGAGGCCATCGAAAGTATAAAAAAAACGAAATATAGATTTGTATTATAATCAGATTGATTCTTAACTTAAGTCTGAGAATGTTTTGTGAGAGAGAGAGAGAGAGACAAATGGGATTTAACGTCCACTTGACACAAACTAGGTCATTTCGGGCCTAACATATGATTCAATTTTCTTTCAATAATTTGCTTGCGCGTAGGGGTCTTTAGCAGTGGGAGGAAACCTGAGGACCTGGGGAAAACACACGAGGTTGGACAGGCGACCCTACGCCTTCTCACGTACAACCGGGGATTCAAAACCACGCCAGTTGACTCAATGACAGGTCTTATGATACAGCACGCACAGGCTAACCATTCGGCCATCCACCCCCCCCCCCCCCAAATGTTTTGTGAACACGGGTCCTAATAATATATATCAATATAGATTATACCTTATAAAATCTTGAGACATTTCATCTGAGAATAACCAGTTGGCTACAGCTGAACATTCTACCACTTGTGTTCTTAACAATTTATCAACTAAAACAACCAACATCTGTAACAATAAATAGTTTAAACAGTTTATAAATAGTTTATAAATTCTTTGTGAAAGATACATTAATAATTTATCAACTAAAACAACCAACATCTGTAACAATAAATAATTTCTTTCTTAAACAATCATTTCTTCTTTGACTGGCATTTAGTAATTGAACATATTAACACAAGGTACAATTTTATGGATACACAATTACTGAGTTTGATACTAAGTGACGTTTCAACGAGGATACTCGTTTATATTCGGGAGATGTAAGATTACCTGTTGGTGTGATTTCCACACTTCATACAATGTTCGTAATAAACAAATCTGAGCCTCTTCTGTTTCAGTTAATGACTTGAGCAACGGATGAAATCTGAAATGAAAAAAATTAAACATTCTTTCTCACTATAATACACAACGGGGATGCTCGATTCACAGTCCAGAATGTCCCCAATTGCAATCGAGTGACGCGGAATTCAGTTCTGTCAGTCCCAACAGCTGAGGTGGTGTGAGTAGAATCGTGACGTATTTTAGATAGCAGATATGTATCAGCTGCCATGATTGGTTGAGATATTTTTTATGCAGTCGGCACATGCGTTGTACTACGAAATTCTCCTTTTAACTCGATTGATACTATTTTTGGGATTGAGAGAATTCAATCGAGCATCCCCAACATCTTATAACGATTAGGAAGGGGAGAGAGAGAAATGGGGTTTAACTTCCACTCGACACAAACTAAGTCAAACTGGTTCAATTTTATTTCAATAATTCACTTGTTCCGCCTTGTTGGGCTTTAAATGTATTTGGGAGAATGCCAGTTCGGAGACAGTCCTGCACATATGTGGAGTGTGGGTAAGGGTTAGGCCACGTCCAAGATTAGGATTAGGGTTAGCGCTAGCCCTGTTTACATGTCCAGACCATAACGAAATCTGCAGGTCCTAACCCTTACCCCCATATGACGTCATCTGTGTTATAATGTACAGGACTGTCTCTGATCTAACGTTCTCCATGTATTTGTGCCATATGATCGACTAGAAACATCTCCATGGAAATTTAAAACAGAAAATAATCACTTACTTGGCTAATGCTGCGAACGAATGACTAAATGATTTACTTCCTAAATACAACAGTGTTGATACAAAAACATCTATCTTTAATGGATTAAAAACTGGCTCACCTGAAATATAATTAAATCATGATTTAAATAAAAAAAATTCAAAAAATAAATTATTAATTACAGGACGAGATTACTTTGCAAATTACAATTCAGTCTGTGACATCATCAAAGTAACTATCCAGTCACAGTTTATAAACAAAACTATGATCTACAACAGCCACCCTCCATATTTTGGGAATGTGACTGTGAGTACAAGAGAAGTTTTAGAGAGAGAGAGAGAGAGAGAGAGAGAGGTTTAACATTCATTCCACACAAACCATTCAGCCATCCACCCCCTCAAGAAGTTAAAGTGATAAGGCAGAAATGTGACAGGACTCAATTCTGTGACACTCAATTGCAATTCCATTAATTCTTAACATCTCAGTTTGAGAATTGAGACCCCGCCCCTCCCTAGTTTTAATTCCACTTGACACAAACTAGGTTATTTCGGGACTAACAAATGGTTCAATTGTTTTTCAATAATTCGCTTGGGCATAGAGGTCTTTAGCAGTGGGAGGAAACCAGAGGACCTGGAGAAAACCCACGAGGTTGGACAGGCGACCCTACTGCTTGTCACGTACAAGCGGGCAATCAAAACCACGCTACTTGACTCATTCACAGACCTTCTGATCCAACGCACACGCGATAACCATTCAACCACCCAAACCCCCGAAAAGTAACAGGTGAGAACTGATAAAATATTGCATGTTGAATAAGTCGTGTTCATATCCTATCCCTTTAGAAGTTGAAGAATGAAAATTGGTAATTACCCAGTAAATCTCATACTCCTCGCTGTGTTTCGTTTGATTATACCTAATCCCACTAAACACTGCTTTAACGAAGGCAAATTTCTGTTCCAAATTATGACTGGTCAATGATCTGATTAACAACCAATAGCTAACTGCGCTACAAAAGCATTACGCTTAAAACGGAGCTTCAAATATGTTTACATAACGTTACGTCGTGACTCATGATTTTATTATGCCCAATTAACCAGTGCATAGCAGAATATTGCAGAAAAACTAATTGCGTGACAAACGAGGCTATCAACACGTAAACAATGTAAACAATACTGTATGGAGATGAACAACACTTTCACCGTCTTTAATACCTTAAATCACTGTCCAAAGTTTTAGGGAAGACCCCAGATTAAACGAAGGGCTGTCATGTTGCTGTACTTGGGATAGATTTGATTGAATGGGAAGAATAGACAAACTCTCTCAAAAGCTCAAGTATCAGAAGCCAATCCAGCAATGGCCAGAGATTATAAAAGACTTACTACTACTATCATCATCAGCCATTGGATTAGGTAATTCTTTAAGAATGGCAGCAGCTTCTTCTGGTGTACATCTAGATTTAATGGCCGACATTAATGCATGGGCTTTCATTGTACCTGGTAAACTTCCTACAGAATAAACAATAAATACACTATATTTCAAACTCTCTCTACAATATTCTAATAATTATAAAGATAATATCACTATCTGCATTCATTAATCGCTATGACTGTCACTAGATAAAACAAAAAAAATAGAAATAGTCTGTGTATTACCATGTTTTTATTAAGGCGTGAGGCTACCTGAAAAATGTTTTCTGAAATTCTAAAGCTATTGAATTGAAAATGGCACAAGTCCTAACTACTTGTGCCATTTTCATTTCAATAGCTTTAGAATTTCAGAACAAAAATTTTCGGATAGCCTCCCCCCTTAAGTATAGAATGAATAAAAAATAACAGAATGTACGGACTATTTCTATTTTTCCCCTTTTCCCTTATCTAGTGGATGGCCAGGTGAAAACCCAGCCCTCCGTTTGTGGGATATCTGTGGGATATAAAAAGACATATTGAACTATTCAGTGACCAAGTGAATATTTACCTGCTCCTTCTTGTTCATATTTATAAAATGGCTGTGGTTTTACAGGTAGAAGACAGTGAAATGATTCAGGTACCGATTCCATTACTCTCTGATGATATGATAATCTAATATAATAAAACACAAGCAATAAAGGTAGGCATATAACTTAAAGGCTTTTATTTAAACATACATTATGCAAGAGCTAAATCTAGAGAGAGAGAAATGGAGTTTAATGTCCACTCGACACAAACTAGGCCATTTCGGGACTAACATATGGTTTAATTTTATTTCAATAATTCGCTTGGGCGTAGGGGTCTTTAGCAGTGTTAGGAAACCAGAGGACCCAGGGAAAACCCACAAGGTTGGACAGGCGATTCTACTCCTTGTCATGTACAACCGGGGATTCGAAACCATGCCAGTTGACTCAATGACAGGCCTTATGATACAGCATGCACGTGCTAACCATTCGGCCATCCAACCCCCCCCCCCCCCCAAGAGCTAAATCTGCCTATTGTAGGTCTTTCTTTAGGCCTGAAATGTTATATAAACTATTAATGAGACATTAATTAAACTATCCAGACCCTAATCAACTCTCAATGGCATCGGAATTCTCCGATATTAAATAGATTAGAACAGTTCAGCCATATTTTGATCTAAGCTAAAAAATGGAGGAGCGAGACATAGCTTCGAACAACCAGTATGGTGGTTGAAATTATTGCACACGTCTTGTCAAATCTTCAAAGACTAATATCTTCGCTCGGAATAAGAGAAATTGGAATGAAATGTTTAAATTAGGGCTGCAACGATACACCAGGCCACGATACGATGCGCATCACGATTCATACCCCACGATACGATTAATATCGCGATGCACTTTTCTCGGTCCACTGGACGAATTCCATTCTTGTCATAATTTACGGGAAATCCCAAAAACTCCCATACTTGTGACTTATACTTGGCAGAGGGATTTTCAATTTCTACATTATTTTTGTCGCCCGTACGACCTGAATTTGTTGACGAATGCATCATTATTAAAAATATTCTGTTGCTGAATCAATTCAATGGCTGGCTCGTATTGCTACAACAATTTCAGCCAATGGAAAGCTTTCTCGTTGTCAGGTCAGTCGTAGATGAGAGAATGGCAAAGAAAATAACAATACGAAATTTGAATGTCAAAATATTATTATACATTGAAAATATAGAAAAGATAATTGTGCTGATCATTGTATGCACCTATCACCATTCTTGCACAGTAGTCTTATTACAAATCGCATATTACTGACGTATTTATAATATGTTGTATGTTTTTTCCGCATATTATTCAAGTGTGTAATTTGCAAGTAACCTAATTTCATGCCTGACTTGCTTATCCAGACTGATATTTTATTTTATTCTTGACGAAATAGCTGAATGTCTCGAATTATTCACGTGCCGAAAGCGAGTTAACACGTACTCGCTAAAAGTAAAAAAAGTTATTTTACTCATAGATTTATTTAGGCATTCCTCATTAGGATATTTAAACGACAGAATGTCAGTCTATTTTTTTTTCAATTTTGGATAACGAATCGCGATACGGACATTGATTGTATTGTGCATCGTGGATTTTTAAACTATCGCGGTTCATCCATCCGATGAATCGTTGCAGCCCTAGTTTAAATTATTCATTTTACATTATTTATTTTCGAACTATTTTATAGTAAGAATGGCTAGCTCTTTATCTAAATCTTACATAATGTATCTGTAATGAAAATGAAATGGGGTTTAATGTCCTAATGTTCTGCTCCTATACTGGACGAATGAAGATGGGCACACGCCACACAGTGTGCTCTGAGGGAAATTTTTGCCTGGGCAGCGGTACTATGGCCTACTCTTATATCGAATTCCAACTGTTAAGGGATCTTTTACATGCGACTAGACAGCTGTCCATGTCAGGTCCTCCATCATGCACCACTGAAACGGGGAAACCACGTCGAAAAGCATAAATTAACAGGTAAGCAAATGATAATTACAGTCTCAAGCATGTTCACAAGGAATTGTGGATAACCAGAAGACAGACAGGGGTGGCAAAATTCTACGACCATGTTTAAATGGACTGGGTGATCAAACTTGTGTTTTATATTATGTAAGATTACCGTAAAATCTTTTGTAAAACTTCATGTACAAATCTGGCTTTAGGTGACGTAGCATCTTGTTGTACGGCAATAGACCAGTCTTCCCAACTCCATCGAAACTGGAACATACTCAGATGATAGGAAAACCATGTGACCAACCTAAAAATACAATAACACTGTATCACATGACCAACCTTAAAATACAATAACTCTGTATCACATGACCAATCTAAAAATACAATAACTCTATATCACATGACCAACCTAAAAATACAACTGAATAGCCCCGGGGGAAGAACGATCTAAGTCATTTTTTCAACAAACCCCAGTTAATGGCGCAATCTGGTAGCAAATTGTATAAGCTTTCGGTGGAACAATCTATTTCAGGGAAAAAATGATCGGACCAAGGTCCTTCTGAAATGGCCTCCCGGACAAATACAAGTCCATCGTACCCTTTATTTAACCTTAATTTGCCTGAAAAATTGAAGTCAGTTGTACTGGTAATTATGATTCGTATTAAACATCATTTTGAAGTTGTAATTAAACCCACTCGTTGTTCTGTTCGCGTCAAACATTCTTGTCCAAAAGTCTGTTTTGCCTTTTATGCGGAAAGACAAAAATGTGACTTAGATCGTTCTTCCCCTGGACTCTTCAATTACTCTAAACCATGTGACGAGCCTAAAAATACTATCATTTTACTTTTGTAAGCAAACTAAATCTAACAAAGTTCCATAAAGGTATCTTGAACAGTTTATGAGAAAATTGAGAAGTAAGGATGGACAGACAGAAGGAAATGAAATGAAATCGGGTTTAACGCCCTACACCGACTGGGCTAGTGAAGACGGGCATACACCATACAGTGTGTTATGTGAGAAATTTTGAATTCTAACTGTCAAGGGATCTTTTACGTACACGCCAATGTGCACATATGAGCTCGACTTTCCATCCCATCCAAAAGACTATACATTGTCCTTTGCCAGGTCCATTCGTTCTGCACCACTGGCAAGAGGAAGGAAAGTTTCCCATTTCAATATCATTCCGTAAGTTATAATAAAGTTAAACAGTAAGTTTTCTGTGTAAATTATCGACAGGTAGATATAAAGAAATTTTTACCTTTCAATACATATGGTATGCATACTATCAAGTCTTTCAAATAACATCTCTGTAGCTTGGGCAAGCTGAATACACAGTTAAGGCAATAATGACCTAATCTATATCAACGATTCCCGTTAATTGGAATTCAAAGGAGGGCAATTTGAAAAAATATCAAGAAATATATCAAGAACAAACTTTTTTTAAGCCATCGATCTTAATGGTCACAAAATATGTAAATAATTCAATAACTATTTTTTATTAGAAGTGTTTATATTTAATATTCTACTTTTTACAGAGATTGTTTTAGGTGTTCAAAATGGCCCGAACCAATAGTATATATAAATCAATCATTTAATTACAAAATAATAAAAGTTTTTTTGTTGTTTTTTTTTTTCCGGTATAAGTTTGTTATTTAATTTCCTGATCACTGTTAAAAAATTAATCATTGTACATCAATAATCAATTTAGTTATTCATTTTTTTTAACAGTGGACGAGAAATTCACTCATTATCAAATTAATCAGTCAGCTTTAAACTGGACACATGTACAAATTAGATGATTTTTGGTGATTTTAAACAATTTTTACAAATTTTTAAACAGAGATTTGATATTAAACGAATGTGAAAGAAATTAGTGCTAGATACACAGGATTAAATGATACCTGGGTTACAGTATAATAAACCAAGTGATTGTATCCATACCAAGTGTTCTAGTATTATAAATAGATTAATATGAAAGGATACAACTTGAGGCATGGTGCTAGGCTGTAATTTACACACCTCCAATAATATAACACCATAGAATAACTCTAAATGTGGCGCCTTAGGTAATCTAAACAACTGACCGAAAACAGTCTGAAAATATAAACACATTATATATTATATTCCATTATTTATTGTACCCGGGGAGGGTTGGATGACCGAATGGTTAGCATGTGCATGCTGTATCATAAGGCCTGTCATTGAGTCAACTGGTGGGGTTTCGATACCCCGCTTGTACGTGACAAGGAGTAGGGTCGCCTGTCCAACCCCGTGGTTTTTTCTCCGTGCCCTCCGGTTTCCTCCCACTGCTAAAGACCCCTATGTGCTAGTAAATTATTGAAATAAAATGGAACCATATGTTAGTCCTGAAATGATACTGACAAAAGATAATTTTCATCTTGCAATATGGGAGAGAGAATTTTGCCCAAGCAATGACATAATTTTCTTAAAATTCATGCTTCTTTGTCAGCCCGGAAGGCACCGGCCCCTTACAATGAAAACCAGCCTTGACAATCCTGAGAGTTGCCACTGGCTCACGATGGGAGTTTGAACATTGGAGAAAGAGAGAGAGAAATGGGGTTTAATGTCCACACAACACAAACGTTTGAACATGGGGCATTTTAATGGAGAGGTCACTACCATACAGCTGTACCACAGCAGCCTGCATAAAATAAGAATATCAATGAAACATATAGTAGTTCGGAGATTGATCTTATAAAATCAATCAATCAATCAATCAATCAATTACTTAAACTCACCTCAATGATGATATAATTTAGAGGAAGTTTATTTTTTGTTGGAAAGCTTAGAAGAGCTGCAGCGCTGTAATAGAAAAAATTGAATGATAATCTGTGGTTATCTTGGGACTAACATATGGTTCCATGTGAGTAATCTATAGCATGCATGGTATAATTTATAGTTAATTAATGGCTAGCTTATGGTTATGTGAGGGTTTAAGCTTTGGCTAACTTAGGAGAGAGAGAAAAGGGGTTTAATATCCACTCGACACAACCACGTCATCTGGTTCAACTCTACTTCAATAATTCGCTTGCCCGTAGGGGTCTTTAGCAGAAGGAGGAAACCGGAGGACCCGGAGAAAATCCACGAGGTTGGACAGGTGGCCCTACTTCTTGTCACATACAACCGGCGAATCGAAACCATGCCAATTGTCTCAATGACAGACCTTATGATACAACGCGCAGACGCTAACCATTCGGCCATTCACCCACCTAAAAAAGGAGTCCCTACATATGAACGTAGTTAGGGGGTGGAGTGTGTAGTGGGGGGAGGGGGTCCTTGTTAAGATGTTTTCTTCTGGCCTCGCCCAGATGATAGACCCACTCAAATAGTTCAGTCGATAAAATCAGTCAAATAATCCAGTCAAATAACCCAGTTGAATTTATCAGTCAAAGATAGGAGAATGGTCCTTGGTTATATTGAGAGTAACATGTTCATTTAGAAACTAATCTCTAGTTATTTTTAGACTAATGGCTATGTGGAGAACATTGATCAACCCCAGGATTACCAGTCTTACTCACTCAGTAATCATAGCTTCCTGTTACAAATTTGTAAGTTTAATAAGATACTTACCATTCTTTCCGTTCTAGATAGTTTGAATCAATTATTTTGTTGATCTGTTCTTCTATAAGATATCGTTCTATAGCATGACTTCCAGGTAATACAGTACCCTATAATATACAGTCAATTATTGTTCATTACAACCAGGAGGAAGGTATACAAACACATATTTTTGATATGAGAGATTAGCCAATGAAATGGTCTGTTTAAGGGGGGAGGCTACCCGAAAATTTTTATTCTGAAATGTTAAAGCAATTGAAAATTGGAAATGGTACAATGTAATAAACGAGGAAAAATTAAGATTAAAAAAAAGTTGTTACCAGGGTAACTCATTTTTGGGGGAGAAATTATGAAAAACGTAGGTATGCTATATCTGTGTAACTAATCAAGATATCTTCACCAAATTGGGAGGGTATATAAACTAATATCTACCACAGAATCAGACAGAAAGTAATTTGAATTATCATTAATATTTCAAAAGTTATCAAAATATTTCTCCAAAGACAAAATATTGTAGTGAGACAAATGTTTTAAACATCATTTTCGAAGAAACTATAAAAATTATAGAGAAAAACTCTCTGTCTGGTTTTAGAGTTATCATTAAAGAATAAGCAGTCCAAAAATGAGACATTTATCTTTATTATTATAATTGAACCATCAAACCCCTCAAAAGCTGTAGTGAACGAAACAAAGATTAAATTTTAATAATTTACGTCATTCATCAAAAGTTCACCTACAGATCAGATCTTTATAGAGTAGCGGCCATCGACGGTAAATACGAAACAAAATTTATATTGTAATCAACTTGACAAAATTCTGACTCACCTCGGGTACGTCTGTGTAATCAAATATCCTAAACACTACAGTAGGAATAGGATATTTCATTTCATCATTATGTGATGGGGGTATTATCTGTGGCAGGGTATGCTGAAGGGCATCACATAGAACTCCATCAAATGCCAAATATGGACGTGAGATCTGTTTTTCAACCCATTTATTATTTCGGAGGTTTTTTATCTGAGCCCACAAACAATCTAAATACTGTCCATAGATAATAAAATATATAAAATAAATAATCAAGTAAGATAGAAGATATATAGAAATTATATATTGGAATCAAAATGAAATGAAATGGGGTTTAACGCCCTACTGTTCTACTCCGACTGGGCTAATGAAGACTGGCATACGCCATACAGTGTTCTATAAGGGAAATTTTGCCCGGAGAGCTGTGCTACGGCCCACTCTTATATAGAATTCCAACTATGAATGTGTACACGGGACCTCAGATTTTTTTTTTGGCCAATCCGAACGACTAGATATATTGGAATCAAATATAAGAATCTTTTGAGGAGCTAACCCGCTCAATCTGAGTAACAGAGAGAGAGAGAGCAATGGGGTTAAACGTCCACTCGACACAAACTACAGTAGAATCTGTATGAGCAGCCACTCCTATTCAGCGACATCTCCTTGTAAGCGGTCACGATAAATTCCCCCCGTAGAAATTCTGTTGTTTTATCTCTTTATTCAACGGTCACTCCTCTAACGCGGCCAGCGGTCACTATTTTACTAATAAATTCAACAAAACATCGCCCATTCAACGGCCATTGTTGAATGATACCATCTTGTCGTTCTTTGTAACACCCCCGCTAATCCCGTGAGTAGTAGTTAATTAACTGGACCCCCACTGATCAGGTAAAAAGAAATGTAAACATAACAATCAACCCGGGATTATCTGTTAATTAATCTTTTGTTTTATTAAACGACTAACCTGATCATTGTTTTCACGCATAACGACACATTATTTGATACTGATTGAATAAAATAAAAGTACCGAGTTTTGTCACGATCATCTAGTATCTCTCTTAGCGCCTCCTATAATATTACATACAGAGTTACACCCCCTGTAAATAGGTGATAAAATTAGCGATGTTTTTTGTTCATGTGCTTTTTTGATAAAATAAAATGAATTCATCGATTTTCTTCACAAAAATGGATAAATATTATCGAATGCATCACAATGGTAGACAGTAGTATCGAAGGTTGGTACAAAATGACAAGTTTACAGAAGTTATGTCCGAGATTTGAGTAAAGAATTTTCGTTCGGCGCAAGATTCAGCGACGGCCAAATTTACCGCTTCCAATGCATCCAAGCGTAATATTTAATTTATGTCGGCACAAAAAGCAACGAGATTTTATTAAGAGGCCACTCCCGTTAAGCGGTCAGTTGTGAAAATTCCCTTGGGTGGCTGCTTAATGCAGATTCTACTGTAGGTCATTTTGGGACTAACATATGGTTTAATTTTATTTCAATAATTCGATTGCACGTAGGGGTCTTTAGCAGTGGGAGGAAACCGGAGGACCCGGAGAAAACCCACGAGGTTGGACAGGCGACCCTACTCCTTGTCACCACATGCTAACCAATCGGCCATTCAACCGCCCTGTGAGTAACAGGAATGGAATGTGGCTTAAAGGAGCTAAATCTCTAATATTTGGGACCTAGAAATGGACACAAATGAGTCACAACGTATATAATAATGTAATATGAATGTATATAAACTGATTTACATTCAACCGTTTCTGTTTTAGTGTAATTTCTAATCAGTTATGATCGCCGAAATATGCAAATAGTCCAAATTGAATGGCAGTACTTGGCATCTGGTTATTCCAGTCTACACTGGTAGTATTCTCCTGTGGGGTATGTTCAGCCTCATTCATTGAGTTGCTTCACTACAAATGCCGCTCAAAAGCATTCTGGCATGCGATTCGTGTGTCAATTTTATAATTTTGATTTTGTCTTATATATTGGATACCAGAAGACGATATTTTCACGGTAAGATAACAACATCAATGTGTTTGCGATGATATGTGGATGATATTGAGTTAAAGACTCGCATCTTTTAATGTCTCTATACTTCGATTATTTGGAGAAAAACATATGGGAACTTGTTTTTTCTATGACTATGTGTCAAATGCTAAAAGGGGGCGTGGGAGAATTTTGTCGGGTATTTCTGTCTAATCTTCCATCGATTTCCAACTTTCAAGGCATCTTTTACATGCACACCTCAACGACTAGACAAACTTTCCTTGCTGGCCCTCATATTAGTAAAACATAAAACTGCCAAAACTTTTAAACATACATTATACAAGAGCTAAATATTGTAATATAACATTTAAGGCCTAAAGAAAGATCTTCATTAACTTATCCAGTAGACATCAATTAACTTATCCAGACCATAATCAACTCTCGATGCCATCAGATATCTCCGATATTAAGTAGATTAGAACAGTTCAGCCAATCTTGATTTAATCTTGCAATTAATGCACACATCTTCTCCAAACTTCAAATGCTAATAACTTCGCTCGCAATAAGAGTAATCAAGTGAAATTTTCAATATATTCATTCTGAATTATCTATTTTTGAACTATTTAACATCTTACATAATGTACCTTTAACTTGGAAAAATGTTTTTGGCATTTTTGAAATTTAGTTTGCAGATATAAATTTTATGTACATGTACCGTCTTGGCTAGATTATTTGTTTATTATAACTTACCTCCTCTTGTGGATGGGGATCATCGGACGCCCAAACTCGTAAAGATGGTACATGAATATGATGTCTCTTACTGAAAATATTCAAATTATTATATTTAATGACAAAACTTGTTATTATATAGTAGGGGAGATAACTCTTCACTCTACCTATTATCTCCCCTTTGACCACAAGTTTACTTGGAGCTCATAAAAATCATAGAAAAAGGATTACTTTTAACAATTAAATTTTTTCAAACAAAACCTTCCATTGTTTAGTAGGGGACATCAGTCTTCACTTTACCTATTGTCTCCCCTTAGACCACAAACTGTAGCTACAAGAGAGAGAGAGAAATGGAGTTTAACGTCCACTCGACACAAACCAGGTCATTTCAGGACTAACATATGGTTTAATTTTATTTCAATAATTCGCTTGCGCGTAGGTGTCTTTAGCAGTGGGAGGAAACCGGAGGACCCGGAGAAAACCCACGAGGTTGGACAGGCGACCCTACTCCTTGTCACGTACAACCGGGGATTCGAAACCACGACAGTCGACTCAATGACAGACTTTATGATACAGCGCGCGCACGCTAACCATTCAGCCATCCAACCCCCCAGAGAGAGAGAGAGAGAGAGAGAGAGAGAGAGAGAGAGTTTAACATTCACTGTCACAAAGAGAGAGAGAGAGAGATAGAATGAAATAGGATCGAATTGTATATGAGAGAGAGAAATGAGGTTTAACCTCCACTCAACTAGGCCATTTCGGGACTAACATATGGTTTAATTTTATTTCAATAATTCGCTTGCGCGTAGGGGTCTTTAGCAGTGGGAGGAAACCGGAGAACCCAGAGAAAACCCATGAGGTTGGGCAGGTGACCATACTCGTCACGTACAACCAGGGAATCGAAACCCCATCAGTTGACTCAATGACAGACCTTATAACCATTCAGCCATCCAACACCCTGGCAATTCAATCAACTTTTTATTTGCTTACAACCAAGATAAATATCTATGGTTATCAGTGCAAATGAAATGAAATGGGGTTTAACGTCCTACTGTTCTGCTCCTAAACTGGGCTAATGAAGACTGGCATACGCCATACAGTGTGCTATGAGGGAAATTTTGCCCGGACAGCGGCGCTACGGCCTACTCTTATATCGAATTCCAACTGCCAAGGGATCTTTTACATGCACGCCAATATGTACACGGGACCTCGGTTTTTCGTCCCATCCGAACGACTAGACAGCTGTCCTTGTCAGGCCCTCCGTCCTGCATCACAGACAAGGGGAAACCATGCCGGAAAATCTGGATGAACTTTCTCGGCCAATGCAGGGATCGAACACCCGACCTCCAGGCTAGCGAGCCAGCGTCTTACCCACTTAGCCACGTGATCCCCGGTTATCGGTACAATACCTACCTAATATAATTTTCTATTGTTTGAAGTAATTTACTCAATTCTGCTTCTTTCTTTTCAAATAATTCTCGTCCCACCTAAAACAAACAACAAATCAGTTACATTTTTTTATAAGTATTTCATTCAAGTATTAGATATTGTTAGATGTAGTTTTTCTGCACTCTAAATGTCTCTAAAGTAGTTAAAGTTTCAGTAAATAATATGGAAGTCCAGTTTTAAAAATAGAAACTTACCCAAGGAAGTGCTGATAGTACAGAATTAACATACCAATCTGACCTCACCTGAATATAAAACATCAATTTTACTTTAGATTAAATAGTCTCACAGAGCTCCATTCGCTTTTTTTATTTTATAAGGACATCACTTCTTATTGAAACTCATTTTCATAATACCGGTAACCATCTCATCCGATTAAAACACAGATCCTATTTCGTTTCATTTTTTATTGTTCAAAATTTCGTTTTACTTGTCTTTACTACACTGGGATCTGGAAAAGTTATTCTATAACCTGCGTTCTGGATGATGTGAGGGATTAGCCAATGAAACGGTCTGTTACGACGAGTGAGTAAATCACTAGAAACCTCAACGCTGATTGATTAATCAATGTCTGACGTCGTAGGGCCAAAAGTCGCTCGTATTACTCCTGACGCGACCTTCCACTACAACTGGTCAGATCTTCATGTAGTGTAGGCCATCGAAAGCATAAAAAAAAAAACGAAACGAAATATAGATCTGTATTTGAATTAGATTGAGTTCAATAGTGATTGGTATTTTATAGAAATACAGTTTACTTTCCCGCCAGAATTTTGAACGGATCTTATTACATCTTTTAAAATTAAAAAAGATCTCTTCATTTGTTTGAAGTTTTTTACCTGTGGAATATTATCTTCTAAAGCCACTTCAACAAAGTTATCAAACATTTGTAAAACAGACGAGGCTACTAGAACATGACAGTTCACCAAATCAGCCACAAATCTAACCTACAAATTACAAATTATTACAATCAATTATTGTATCACAGTATTAAAGGTCACCGGAAAAGCATCAATTTTTTTTTAAATAATGCAAGTAATTATGTCAACATATCCTTTCCATAAGTATAACCCGAGCCCGAACGTCAATATTACCTGCAACAGGTAAATTTCAACATTAGTAATTTCCTCCGTTCTCCGTCGGTAGTCGGAACTTTCCGTCAATAAGCAATCCGTGACGTTATTTTAGTCCTTCTGCACATAGAAATATAGACTAGAATATGAGCAGAGGGACTAAAATGACGTCACATTTATGGAAAGTTACGACTACCCACGGAGAATGGCGGAAATTGCTAACGTTGAAATTTACCTGTTGCAGGTAATACTGACATTCGGGTTCGTGTTATACTTATGGAAAGGATATGTTGACATAATTACTTGCATTATTTAAAAAATTTATGAACCTTTTCCGGTGACCTTTAAACTAGGAAATGACGATTAACATTCTACTGGTCTTAGGTATCCTGCTAATGGAGAGAGAGAGAGAGGGGGAGAGAGAGAGGGGTGAGAGAGGGAGAGAGAGAGAGAGAGAGAGAGAGAGAGAGAGAGAGAGAGAGAGGGGTGAGAGAGAGAGAGGGGGTGAGAGAGAGAGAGAGAGAGAGACTAGGTCACTTCGGGACTAACATATGGTCCAATTTTATTTCAATAATTCGCTTGAGCTTAGGGGTATTTAGCAGTAGGAGGAAACCGGAGGACCCAGAGAGGGGGAGAGAGAGAGAGAGAGAGAGAGAGTGAAACTAGGTCACTTCGGGACTAACATATGGTCCAATTTTATTTCAATAATTCGCTTGACCGTAGGGGTCTTTAGCAGTAGGAGGAAACCGGAGGACCCAGAGAAAACCCACGAGGTTGGACAGGCAACCCTACTCTTTGTCACGTACAAGCGGGGAATCGAAACTACGCCAGGGAATAACATTTGATATGGTACGATGGATATTTTGCCATAACAGCAACATTTCTGCTTACACATCATCAAATTCCAACTTCTAAAGGTTCTTTACTATGTAAATGAAATGAAATGAAATGGGGTTTAACGTCCTACTGTTCTGCTCCTAACCTGGGCTAATGAAGACGGGCATACGCCATACAGTGGGCTATGAGGGAAATTTTGCCCGGGCAGCGGCACTATCGCCTACTCTTATATCGAATTCCAACTGCCAAGGGATCTTTTATGTGCACGCCAATGTGTACACGGGACCTCGGTTTTTCGTCCCATCCGAACGACTAGACAGCTTTTCTTGTCAGCCCCTCCGTCCTGCATCACTGACAAGGGAGAACCACGCTGGAAAATCTGGATGAACTTTCTCGGCCAATGCAGGGATCGAATCTTTACTATGTACAAATCATGTCGTTTCGAACATGAACTAGAGGGATCAGCAACTTTAATAATTTGGGTTGCTTAAAAACACAAGACAGAATTTTAATTTGTTTCTTTATGATTTAGATTGTCTCGACGGTATGTTGATTTGATTATTTCATACGTTATTACGAGGATTACTGACATTCTCAAACAAATCTTCTATATTTATCAATAATCAATAATTACTTACAATCATTCGTGCACTTTCAAATTCACCAGTCTTCAAAGCTTCTTTCAAATTTCTGACTAATAATTCAGAAAACTGTAATAATAACAACAAAAAAAAAAACACAATTAAAATTTATACTTGGTGCAAAGAATTGGCCAAAATTTCAAAATGAAATGAAATAGGGTAAACGTCCGACTGGGCTAATGAAGATGGGCATACGCCATACAGTGAGAGGATTTTGCCTAGATAGCGGCGCTATGGCCTATTCTTATATCAAATTCCAACTGTCAATGGAGAGAGAGAGAAATGGGGTTTAACATCAACTCGACACAAAGTAGGTCATTTGGGGACTTACATGGTTTAACTTTTATTTCAATAATTCTAGCAGTGGGAGGAAACCGGAGGAACGGGAGAAAACCCACGAGGTTGGACAGGCGACCCTACTCCTTGTCACGTACAACCGGGGATTCGAAACCACGCCAGTTGACTCAATGACAGGTCTTATGATACAGCGCGCACGTGCTAACCATTCGGCCATCCAACTCCCCAACTGTCAATGGATATTTTATGTGCACTCCAATGTGTACATGGGACCTTGGTTTTTGGCCCCATCCGAATGACTATACAGTGTATGTTGCTAGGTCTTCCGTACTGTGAAAGGGGGGTTGGATGGCTGAATGGTTAGCGTGCGCACGCTGTATCATAAAGTCTGTCATTGAGTCGACTGGTGTGGTTTCGAATCCCCGGTTGTACGTGACAAAGACTAGGGTCGTCTGTCCAACCTCGTGGGTTTTCTTCGGGTCCTTCGGTTTTCTCCCACTGCTTAAGACCCCTATGCGCAAGCGAATTATTGAAATAAAATTAAACCATATGTTAGTCCCAAAATGACCTAGTTGTGTTAAGTGGACGTTAAACCTCATTTCTCTCTTTCTTGTACTGTGAAAATCCTAATGAACTTTCCCAGCCAGCACAGGGATCGAACCCAGAATCTTCAGGTTAATGAGACAACATCTTACTCACTGAGCCCTTGTGGCTCCCGACCAAAATTTCATCAACGCACACGCATTAACCATTCAGTCACCCAACCCCACCCCCACCGCTCCCAGAATGAGATGAAAGAATTTAACGTAGATTACCTCTCCTCCACAATTATAATTCTTGGCATTCAACAAACCAACTAATGTGGTATATACAGTAATCTTCTCAGGTAAATACACCACGCTAAAATATATATTCAAACATTAAAACAATACACATTTTAACAAAACAAATAATGGATTTATATTCCAAATGAATACTTTCTTCATAAATAGAAATATTATTCTTAAAGTAGCTAAGTCTCTAACTTAATAACATCCAATAACTTTGACATTGAAAACACAAATTATTTGTCAATTTAAGTCAACTTTGATGGGCTTCTGATATCCAATATTTAAGACAAAATAGACATTTTACCATTTGTACTTGTACACGAATCGTGTACCATAATACGTTTCAGCACCATTTGTAACAATGGACTCGAAGAACGAAGCTAGACACAGTCATGTCAAACGGCAACGCCATATTCTTATCTGGAGAACATGCGCAATAAATACTATCCGTGTAAACTGGAATAACCAGACGCTAGAGATTGCAATTCTATTGAGACTTCTGGTGCATTTCACCGAACATGGGGGGGTTGGATGGCTTAGTGGTTAGCATGTGCGCGCTGTATCATTAAGCCTGTCATTAAGTCAACTGGCGTGGTTTCGAATCCCCGGTTGTACGTGACAAGGAGTAGGGTCGCCTGTCCAACCTCGTGGGTTTTCTCCGGGTCCTCCGGTTTCCTCCCACTGCTAAAGACCCCTACGCGCAAGCGAATTATGGAAATAAAATTGAACCATATGTTAGTCCCGAAATGACCTAGTTTGTGTCGAGTGGACATTAAACCCCATTTCTCTCTCTCTCACCGAACATAACTGATTAGAAATTACAGTAAAAACAGAAAGGATTGAATGTAAATCAGTTTATATACATTCATATTACATTATTATATGTGTTGCGATCCATTTGTGTCCATTTCTAGGTCCCAAATATTAGCAATTTAGCTATTTTAATGTTTGTGTTTACACATCTCTTGGCTTGAAATTACTGGAGAAGAATAAATAGTAAATAAGAGAAAATAAAACAATATTCATGAGGTCACTAACCAGTCACATAAAATTTTAACAATCTTGTCTTTGTAATTTGGAAGATCGGCTTCTAAAACACTAGCAAGTCCTTCTAAGTTACTTTCTAAAGATGAAGTACTCTGAAATTAAAATGAAACAAATCTCTCTTTAATTGGGTACATTTATAAACAATCTGATGTATTATGCTGGCTCACTAACGAGGAGGTCCAAGGTTCGTTCCTATTGTTCAACTAAAAAGTTCACCAGGAATTTCCAGTCTGGTTTCCCTTTGAAATGAAATGAAAGAGAGAGAGAGAAATGGGGTTTAACGTCCACTCGACACAAACTAGGTCATTTCGGGACTAACATAAGTTTTTAATTTTATTTCAATAATTCCCTTGCGCATAGGGATCTTTAGCAGTGGGAGGAAACCGGAGGACCAGGAGAAAACCCACGAGGTTCGACACTGCCAAGTGATCTTTTACGTACACGCCAATGTATACACAGGACCCCAGTTTTTCGTGCCATCCGAACGACTGGACACCTGTCTTTGTCAGGCCCTCCGTCCTGCACCATGGTTTCCCTTTGCCAGTAGTGCAGGATGGCAGTCTGACCAAAAAAATTGTTTAGTGTTTTGGATGGGACAAACAAAAACAATCCTTAGATTATAATTGAAGTTGTAAAGTGGTAACACATGCACATGTGTATAAAAATAGAGTTACCTTTCTACCTTTAAATATTATATGGCAACCAATTTTACATAGAGTGGGTAAATAATTTGTAGCCTATAATGTGCCAACATGAATTAATAACAATGGGATTTAACTCCAGAAAAAGTGAATGACAAATGGATGGATGCCATTTCATTCAAGTCAATATTCGTAGCTGTCGATGCAGAAACAATTTGGGCTGGAATGATCAAGATTGTGAAACAGCCTGGTCCCCTGAAGAAAATAGGGAAATGCAATAAGCCCTTGGAGAGGGATTTATCCCTTTTTTTTCCTATCCAATTAAATTATTATGTATTGTATGTAATTATATGTTAAACTAGAAGAATGCCCGGCTTCGCTCGGGGGTCATAACCCCGAAAACAGAAGTGGTAGACTAACGCCACCTGGCCTAGGTTACTCCCCGGTCCGAGCTACCCCTATACCCCAAATTTCAGACTCGGGGCAGACCTAGTGTAACCGCCAACCCCGAACAGACAGACAAACAGACAAACAGCAGTCACAAATATTAGTATAGAAGATAAATACTGTTTAAATCAATGAGTCCTTAATTGTGAGCTAACAGCAGAAGGTAAACTGGGGGTCAACATGAATCTGATCAAGAGAAGTCACTACACATCGATGCCCTACAATGGGTATTAGACAACGCTACCCTACGGCATTATATATACCATTTATAAATAAAACAAGTTTGAACATTCAAGCTCAATTAGAAAGAGAGTTATTGTGTCCCAAAAAGTGTGACGGACGGACGGACGCACCAACAGACAGACAGACAGACAGACAAGGCGGGGGACAACAATGATGTTAATGGCATGTCATCTTACTTTTTCTCCAACTCTGGTTATGAGAGAGTCCAGTCTGTCTTCAATATTAACATCATCTGAAGTACGTCTTCTTTTACTGCGGTGACTGGCTGTAAATACAAAATGAATATTTAAATATATTATTGAATTATTCAGGTTTCAGTTTGAATCTGGAGTACAAAATGGCCGAAGCTTATTACATAGCGAGCAGCATAGATCTATGAAATTTGAGTTCATCATATCTTTTTAAATACTGAACAGAATTAAACCATTACTGGATTGATATTCCTGTTAGAGATTCATCTTTCACAATATCGTAATTTACAAGGGATTTATACACCTTAAAATGTTGCATCAGAAGTTTAAACATGCATTATGCAAGAGCAAAATCTGCTTATTACAAGTCTTTCTTTAGGCCTGAAATGTTATCTAAATTATCAATTAGACATTAATTAACTTATCCAGACCATAACAAACTCTCGATGTCAAGGCTAGCCTTCGATGTTGGCTGGATTAGATTCCTATATGCCACTAACGGCTATTGATAATTAAATCAATAAAAGTGGATAATCGAGACTATGCTGTTTATATTAATGATTTTAGTAATGATGACCGAGACTATGCAAAAATTTCACCCGCTTCTTTCTCGGCTCATAGTGGATCAATTTGACTGAAATTTTCAGCAAATTACCTTTACACTATCTAGTTTTCAACTATTATAGCGAGAACTGCCATCTCTTTATCTTATCTCCCATAATGTATCTTTAATATCGGGAATTACTTTCTGATTCAGATCATCTACGGTCAACGTGTAATACTGTATCATAGGATATCATGTAATACTATAACAGACAAGATAGATATCAACCCCATTTATATATTCTGTGCTACCGTCCTGTATACAATTAATAGATAACATCTGTTTGGTTGTAATATGCAAGGGATAGAGATGGGAGATGGGGTGTCGGTTCCATGGTGTGAGGCCGTAGCTCAGTGGGTATGGCTCTCTAACCTGGAGGTCATGTGTTTGATACCTGCATTGGCCGAGAAATTTCATCAGGTTTATACGGCGTGGTTCCCGCTTGTCGGTGGTGCAGGACAGAGGGTCTGGTAAGGGACAATGTATAGTCGTTTAGATGGGAAGAAAAACTTGGGTCCCGTATAAAAATTGGGGTTCCCTCATAACACACAGTATGGCGTATGCCCGTCTTCATTTGCCCAGAGCAGAACAATTTCAGTGTGATGTTGTACGGGAGTCACGGTGGCTAAGTGGGTAAAATGCTGACTCGCTAGCCTGGCGGTCAGGTGTTTGATCCCTGCATTGGCCGAGAAAGTTCATCCATATTTCGGGCGTGATTCCCGCTTGTTAGTGATGCAGGACGGAGGGCCTGACAAGGACAGCTGTCTAGTCGTTTGGATGGGACAAAAAAACGAGGTCCCGTGTACACATTGACGTGCACGTAAAAGATCCATTGAGAGTAGGCCGTAGTGCCGCTGCCCGGTCAAAACTTCCCTCAATTTTGAATTTGATTTATCTGTTTAGTTTTTGATTGTTTAATTTTTGTTAATGAAGTTGATTCTTTTAAACTTCGTTTTTATTTTTGAACTCTACTTGGTGTAGGTGTTCATCAGGTAATACCTCGACTGAGTTCAATATTGAGATTAGCCGGTTGATTTGTTGGATATAAACCTTTGAATAATAGCGCCTAACAGGCAGCTGTGTTTAATTATGTTCTCCTGATTTTGATTGTTTCTGTGTGTTTGAAGTATATGTTTGTGATATGCGCTTAGAAACACTTCACGTGTAATGAAGCGCTATATAAATCGAACAATAATAATAATAATAATAATAGCACACTGTATGGCCTATGTCCGTCTTCATTAGCTAGGGGTGATGATTTTCGCGGAAATCGCAGAATTGTCCACTCAAAACGGAATTTGAAATCTCACACGGAAAAAGACGGAAAAGCCGATATTTGCTGATACTAAACACAAACTCAAAATAATTTTGCAGTTATCCAAGTATTTCATCTTTTTATTCATAAAAATCGGAAATATTGAATGATATCGCGTGGTTTTGTTACTGTCTAGTTTAGTATTTCACTAAAATTACTCTGTAGTTTAACTTGAATTAAACATTGTAATGTATATACATGTCTTAAAAAAAACTTCTGTCACTTCATAAAAGTAAAAATCGTTTCATTTACTTCTTATTTTACTGCCGGGCTCGTGACTCGTGTTTATCCGCATTAACCACGTGACATCAGAAATATACCGTAGCCTTGTGAATCCAGCCCTTATTCTCGAAGAAACGGTAGTAACTACGAAGATGTCTGGATAAATCGCGACTACACCTAGCAGCTGAGAAAAATGGCTTCGTCTGCTAAAAAGATGAAACGAGCTCACAAGATGTAATTTTCTGTTATTTAATTCGGGAAACAGGTTTAAAGAATAACTAGTCATTGAACATTACAAGTCATTCACAATTCAACATTTGTTGTCATTGGTTTAAAATGATCCGTTTTGTAATAAAAGGCATTTTAAGATGTTTTATTCATTTATTCATAAAATAACATTTTATCTCGAAAAAACGGAATATGGTCAGCTCTGAAACGGAAAATAACGGAATTAAAAATACTTAAAACGGAATTTGCTATTTTCTGAAACGGAAAATCATCACCCCTAATTAGCGATTAGCCCAGTCGGAGCAGAACAGTAGGATGTTAAACCCCATTTCATTTCATTTATTTCCATGATGTTGTAGTTGTAATGTATGGGGGTTAATGCCCGCTTCCACCATGGGTGATGTTGCAGACTGATTTGTATTTTCATTTTGCCGGCAGCCGTGTGGTCGTGTTTTTGTTTGTAATTTGTATAAATTTAATGTAAAAACAAGATAATTGTCATTGAATTTTTGGACCCGTATTACACTTTACCGATACTTACTTTCATCCTCGTCGTCACTGTACGATTCTCTTCGTCTTCTAGACATTTTTGATTATAATTATTAACAAATTTAATAGAAAGAATAAATAAAACACAACGATCTCGCGTAGACCGGAAGTACAATTGTTTAGCGCGTACTACCGGAGAAAATGGAATGATGATTATTAATTGATCAAAAAGGGAGCTCACTTAAATTCTTTCAACATTATTTTTAATTACCATTGAGCATGTCATTGAAGACAATTATATAGACAAATTTGGGTTGTATTCTAAAACTTTGCCGAGTCGTTATTTAATTTAAGTAGTCCCGTTTTATTAGTCTTTCAGCACAAAAGATTGTATATTTTTTTCTCGTATAATCGAGCTTTGAGACCTTAAAATACTATTTTAATTATGTATTTCAATATCAGTGTTATCTCAAACGTAGATGACATGGAAAAATACTGAAAAGAAATACACTTTTTATGAGTATTTAATGCTATTATCGTATGTAGTAATAAAACTGGTTAATCGTAGCTACCCAATTATGAATAATTTTTATCGGGCAACTGAATAATTTACTATTTATAACTGATGACGTAACGTTCTACGTTGTTCTTAACCAATCAGGAAACGGACACCTGTCATGTGATTATCGTGTATAAAAGCAGAAGCCATTCCTTGCCTTCTTCATTGGAAACCATTGTAGTTCTGGTGACCTAAGTAGAGAAAAGTACGAATTCAAGTAAGTACAAAGTATATACCGTTTACTAATTGGGTTAATACGTGGCAGATTGGCAATGATTTGATAACTTTATGTTGATTTGAAAGTGAAGAAGTAAAGAAACGGGGGAAAAAAAATGAGACGCTGGCCTTGTGAATGTGTTTTTTTAAAATATTTTTCACTATAATTTTAGGCTCTGTTCTGTTTTAGAATTTACGTAACGTCGCATATTTTCAGTTTCATTCTGACCTATTTTCATTTGCTTTTTTATTGCTTAATTGTGTGGTACAAGTACGACTGATTTTTTATTTTACAATGTAACAAACGACTCATATTTTCAGTTCATAAATATCTAGCTTGTTCTATTTTGTCTATCGGGGACTATCCCGAGAATCCAAGAACTTCTTCTTAACTTATTTTAATTTTGAACCAAATCGATTTTATTAATTTTTAATTCGCTTTGGTTCTTTGTTTAGTATTTGAATAATTCACTGACCAAAAATCCATTTTTTTATTTTTTTTTATTTTTAATATATAAACCACATTTAAACACAGGGCAGACTCCTTTGATATTTTTACTAATTTGAGCTTTCTTTATTTCAGAATGCAGATTTTCGTCAAAACATTAACTGGTAAAACCATCACATTAGAAGTTGAACCAGCTGATACCATTGAAAATGTTAAAGCTAAAATCCAAGATAAAGAGGGTATTCCCCCAGATCAACAAAGATTGATTTTCGCTGGTAAACAATTGGAAGATGGTAGGACTTTGTCCGACTACAATATCCAGAAAGAATCAACCCTTCACTTGGTACTTCGGCTGAGAGGAGGTATGCAGATCTTTGTGAAAACTTTAACCGGTAAAACTATAACCCTAGAAGTTGAACCAGCTGATACCATTGAAAATGTAAAAGCTAAAATCCAAGATAAAGAAGGTATTCCCCCAGATCAACAAAGATTAATTTTCGCTGGTAAACAATTGGAAGATGGTAGGACTTTGTCCGACTACAATATCCAGAAAGAATCCACTCTTCACTTGGTACTTCGTCTGAGAGGAGGTATGCAGATCTTCGTCAAAACTCTAACCGGTAAAACTATCACATTAGAAGTTGAACCAGCTGATACCATTGAAAATGTTAAAGCTAAAATCCAAGATAAAGAGGGTATTCCCCCAGATCAACAAAGATTGATTTTCGCTGGTAAACAATTGGAAGATGGTAGGACTTTGTCCGACTACAATATCCAGAAAGAATCAACCCTTCACTTGGTACTTCGGCTGAGAGGAGGTATGCAGATCTTTGTGAAAACTTTAACCGGTAAAACTATAACCCTAGAAGTTGAACCAGCTGATACCATTGAAAATGTAAAAGCTAAAATCCAAGATAAAGAAGGTATTCCCCCAGATCAACAAAGATTAATTTTCGCTGGTAAACAATTGGAAGATGGTAGGACTTTGTCTGACTACAATATCCAGAAAGAATCCACTCTTCACTTGGTACTTCGTCTGAGAGGAGGTATGCAGATCTTTGTCAAAACTCTTACCGGTAAAACTATCACATTAGAAGTTGAACCAGCTGATACCATTGAAAACGTAAAAGCTAAAATCCAGGATAAAGAAGGTATTCCTCCAGATCAACAAAGATTGATTTTCGCTGGTAAACAGTTGGAAGACGGAAGAACACTTTCTGACTACAATATCCAGAAAGAATCCACCCTTCACTTGGTACTTCGTCTGAGAGGTGGTATGCAGATCTTTGTCAAAACTCTTACCGGTAAAACTATCACATTAGAAGTTGAACCAGCTGATACCATTGAAAATGTAAAAGCTAAAATCCAAGATAAAGAAGGTATTCCCCCAGATCAACAAAGATTAATTTTCGCTGGTAAACAATTGGAAGATGGTAGGACTTTGTCTGACTACAATATCCAGAAAGAATCCACTCTTCACTTGGTACTTCGTCTGAGAGGAGGTATGCAGATCTTTGTCAAAACTCTTACCGGTAAAACTATCACATTAGAAGTTGAACCAGCTGATACCATTGAAAACGTAAAAGCTAAAATCCAGGATAAAGAAGGTATTCCTCCAGATCAACAAAGATTGATTTTCGCTGGTAAACAATTAGAAGATGGTAGGACTTTGTCTGACTACAATATCCAGAAAGAATCCACCCTTCACTTGGTACTTCGTCTGAGAGGTGGTATGCAGATCTTTGTCAAAACTCTTACCGGTAAAACTATCACATTAGAAGTTGAACCAGCTGATACCATTGAAAATGTAAAAGCTAAAATCCAAGATAAAGAAGGTATTCCCCCAGATCAACAAAGATTAATTTTCGCTGGTAAACAATTGGAAGATGGTAGGACTTTGTCCGACTACAATATCCAGAAAGAATCCACTCTTCACTTGGTACTTCGTCTGAGAGGAGGTATGCAGATCTTCGTCAAAACTCTAACCGGTAAAACTATCACATTAGAAGTTGAACCAGCTGATACCATTGAAAATGTTAAAGCTAAAATCCAAGATAAAGAGGGTATTCCCCCAGATCAACAAAGATTGATTTTCGCTGGTAAACAATTGGAAGATGGTAGGACTTTGTCCGACTACAATATCCAGAAAGAATCAACCCTTCACTTGGTACTTCGGCTGAGAGGAGGTATGCAGATCTTTGTGAAAACTTTAACCGGTAAAACTATAACCCTAGAAGTTGAACCAGCTGATACCATTGAAAATGTAAAAGCTAAAATCCAAGATAAAGAGGGTATTCCCCCAGATCAACAAAGATTGATTTTTGCTGGTAAACAGTTGGAAGACGGAAGAACACTTTCTGACTACAATATCCAGAAAGAATCCACCCTTCACTTGGTACTTCGGCTGAGAGGTGGTATGCAGATCTTTGTCAAAACTCTTACCGGTAAAACTATCACATTAGAAGTTGAACCAGCTGATACCATTGAAAATGTAAAAGCTAAAATCCAGGATAAAGAAGGTATTCCCCCAGATCAACAAAGATTGATTTTCGCTGGTAAACAATTAGAAGATGGTAGGACTTTGTCTGACTACAATATCCAGAAAGAATCAACCCTTCATTTGGTACTTCGTCTGAGAGGAGGTTTCTAAATGGATAAAACTAACTTTTGTTTTTATCGTGTTTTAATTTATCCAATAAAGTTATAAAGTTAACTGAACTAGGGTGACCCATGTACTCACAGAAATACAGTCCACAGCTGATAGTTCGAGACTACCACTGAAGCGTGCACATTCGCCATAGTATGATACTATAAATAGCCATGGCACATGCAATTCTCTACAAATCTATCAACTATTACAGCCGTAAAAAATTTATTGTTGACGATTTTGAATAGCAGTAAAATTAAGCTTCTTGGTTATTACAGCAGATTTAGAAATTACGTTCGTTTCATTTTTTAAATCGCTTTATCGTTAACTGTACCGTTAAGAGCGACATCTTTTGGTTTAGTACAAATAATATCTCTGAATCACTCGGGTTAGACAAGAACATGATATTATCAGTAGTTTCATTTTACTTTTACAAGCTTCTTAAAACGATTGTTGACCTACCTAACGTGCTTATTTCTAAATTCAATTTCTTGTTCTAGCTTTCTGTTATGTTTCGTAAAAAAGTAGTCTTGATTATCCCGACCTGTCAATCAGACGTAGAATGGTCGATAGACTGGTTAAGCGAGACTAATTTCAAAACAAGGGCACGTAACCTATCTTTTACTCAAAAGTGTCTGGATGTTCTGGACGACTCTTGGAACCAGTTTTCAGTCTATTATTTATACATGATTAATGGTCATAGCTTATTAAGTACAACATGATCGTTTATTTAGTGACTATAATTGTGTGAAACTGATTTGAGGCTTGGCATATATAAATATTGTGGCGTAATTGTCGAGATATATGGAGATATTTATTTATGGTGGGTCACCCTAACTGAACTATATTTTGTGTTTACTTAATCCTTTACTGGTGTAATTGAGGTGGACATTACTATAATTTTCATTAAACAAATAATAGTCTGTTTGCACAAAGCCCATGTAAATCGTGTTTTATTTTTACTAACTGCTCTATTCAGTTGGGTGTGGGGGGGGGTGGAGTTGGATGGTTAGCATATACGTGTTGTATCGTAAGGTCTATCATTGAGCCAACTAGCATGGTTTGGATTTCCCCAGCTGTACACGACGAGGAGTAGTTGCCTTTAGTACTCGATTGCTGTCGAGACAAAATTTCTAGCATGGTGTATGACCATCATCAACGAAGTCTGTGCTGAAAAGTCGGACATTTAAACCCACTGACACTGAAAAGTGTTCCTTATTATTTATGGAATTTGTACCTTTTCAGGAGTAATAACCCAATAATGCATTTTAGGGAAAAGGTAGGCTTTTGGTCAATATACAGCAATAAATTTGGATAACCATTGTATATCCCTTCCAATCAACAGACCACTTGAGTGAACTAAAATGGGGGGTCATGGTGGCTAAGTGGGTAAGACACTGGCTCGCTAGCCTTGAGGTCAGGTGTTCAATCCCTGTATTGGCCGAAAAAGTTCATCCAGGTTACCCGGTGATGGAGGCCGGACAAGGACAGCTGTCTAGTCGTTTGTATGGGACGAAAACCCCAGGTCCCATGTACAAATTGGCGTGCACGTAGAAGACCCCTTGGCAGTTGGAATTTGATATAAGAGAGGCTGTAGTACCGCTGTCCGAGCAAAATTTCTTTCATACCACCCCATACTGGCGTATGCCCGTCTTCATTAGCCCAGTTCGGAGCAGAACAGAGGTCCCGTGTACACATTGGTGTGCACGGAAAAGATCCCATGACATTTGGAATTCGATATAAGAGTAGGCTGCAGTGCCGTTCTCCAGGCAAAATTTCTCTCATAGCATAATGTATGGCGTATGCCCATCTTCGTTAGCCCATTTCGGAGTAGGACATTAAACCCCATTTCATTTCATCCTATCAAGCATTGGCCGAGAAAGTTCATCAGGATTTTCCGACGTGGTTTCCCCTAGTCAGTGGTGCAGAACAGAGGGCCTGGCAAGGACAGCTGTCTAGACCTTCGGATGAGACGGAAAACCGAGGTCCCGTGTATATATTGGAATGTACGTAAAAGATCCCCTGGCAGTTGGAATTCAATATAAGAGTAGGCGATAGTGCCGCTGCCCGGGCAAAATTTCCCTCATAGCACACTGTATGGCGTATGCCCGTCTTCATTAGCCCAGTATAGGAGCAGAACAGTAGGACGTTAAACCCCATTTCATTTCATTTCATCCTATCAACCGTCCAGTTGAGCAGATCGAAATGGGGTTTAACATCCAACTTTTCTGCACCAACTAGCCTAATGAAGACGGGACATGCAGTGTGCTATGAGGGAAGGTTTGTCTTTAAAATTCCTACTGTCAAGGATTCTTTTATGAGTATGTCTGCATATTTCATTCCGTCCAAATGACTAGATATTACTCCTTTCCAGGTTCCCTCTCCTGCATCCAACTGGCGTGGTTTTGATTCGCTGGTTGTACGTGACACAGAGTAGGGTCGCCTGTCCAACCTTGTGGATCCTCCGGTTTCCTCCCACTGCCAACGACCCCTATGCGCAAAGCGAATTATTGAAATAAAATTGAACCATATGTGTCGAGAGGACACCCATTTCTCTCTGTCCCGCATCACTGAAAGGGGAAAACCATTGCTTGAAATTCCTGCCATTCTCTGCCAACACATCCGGCTAGTGAGTCACCTTGACTCCAATCAAAATTAAGACAAACAAAGAATTCTGTTAGAACATTAATTTATTAGAACATACATACATGCCAACGTCAAAAATATGTAATCATCAAATAAGAAAAATATTCCATCAACATTTCATTTTATTAACTGAAAATATTTGAAGAGTCCAGAGGAAGAACAATCTAAGTTACATATTTGTCTTTTCGCATAAAAGGCAAAACAGACTTTTGTCGAGAATGCCTGACACGAACAGAACAACAAATGGGTTTAATTACAACTTCAAAATGATGTTTAATACGAATCATAATTCCCAGTACAACAACTGACTTCCACTTTTCAGCCAAATTAAGGTCAAATAAAGGGTACGGTGGACGCATTTGTCCGGAAGGCCATTTCACAAGTGCCTTGGTTTGATGTGACTACAATCTTTTTTACCTGAAATTGATTGTTCCACAGAAAGCTTATACAATTTGCTACCAGATGGCACCATTAACTGGGGTTCGTTGAAAAGTAACTTAGATCTTTCTTCCCCGGGGCCCTTCATTTGGAATGTAACTAATACCAAGATGGTACATCTACATTTTAAAATTTTAATCGAGCGATTCAGTTCGTTGTGTTGTCAAGGTCACAAAGTAACCACACGCTCAGATTCGGTTATATTTAGACTTGCCTTTGTGGCGTGGGAAGAGCAGGGCATGGGGGCGATCCTGCTTTTGGCAGAGAAAGTTCCCGGGTCAGAGAACCTGGCAAGCAACAGCATCTAGTCATCTGGATGGGATGAAAAACGGGTCCTGTGAACACCCATGACAGTTGGAATTTGATGATGTGCAGAGTGAAATGCCACTGCCGGGGCAAAATGGCCTTCCTGGAAAACTGCATGGTGTATATCTGTCTTCATTAGCTCAGTTGGTGCAGAAAGAAATGGGGTTTAACGTCCTACTCTTCTGCTCTGACTGGGCTAATAAAGACGGGAATACACCACACAGTGTGCTATGAGGGAAATTTTGCTTGGACAGCGGCACTACGACCTACTCTTATATTGAATTCCATCTGCCAAGTGATCTTTTACAGGCACGCCAATGTGTACACACGACCTCAGTTTTTTGTCCCATCCAAAGGACTAAACAGCTGTCTTTGTCAGGCCCTCCATCATGCACCACTGACAAGGGGAAACCACGCAGGAAGAAAGGTAGAACATTAAACCTTGTTTCATTTATTTCTTTTTAGCGTGGCCATATGCTTTAATTTGATTAATTTGACTTGGTAGACTGCTGTGGTCATTGACAATTATTTTCAGCCACAGGAAACCCTTTAATTGATTAAAGATACATTATGTAAGCGCTAAATCTGTCTATTCCAGATCTTTTCTCTGGCTTCAAATGTTATATAAATTTTTACTTAGACATTTATTAATATGACAAGCCTATAATCAACTCTCTAGTTCAGTTATTCTCAACCAGTGTGCCGCGAGATCAACCTAAGTGTACCACAAACATTTTGAACGCCACACTAAAAACAGTGATCCCATTGAGTAATGACAGGTGTCTACTGATAAGTTCATATCTGTGTATTTCTTTATTTAGTTTCAGTCATTCTATGTGTCTATGTCTATAGTCTGTGTCTACGTCTACGGTTGTATTCTGTTTGACTTACATGTTTTTATATTGCAAAATTCAAATATTTTTCATATATATTTAGCCAGGTGTGATGCTATTTTTTCTTGTGTTCCAAGGTGTGCCATTGGCAAAACAAGGTTGAGAACCACTGCTTTCGGTCATCGGATGTCTGAGATATTAAATGGATTAAAACAGACTTGCCACAATTAATTTGAAGTTAAAATGGATTAATCGAAACTTTGTTTATTATTTTTGTAGCCATGGTACTAGACAATCAAGACTATTTAGGCTAAATTTTGTCAAAGCTTCAATCATTCATAACTTTGCTCAGAATAAATAAATTTGATTGAAATTTTTAAACTATTATAGCAAGAAACACCATCTCTCTATCTAAATCTTTTCTGCTGTTAATTTTTATTGTATATCAAGTTTATTTAAACATACATTATGCAAGAGCTAAATCTGCCCATTGCAAGTCTTTTTTAAGGCTATGAACCAATTAAATAGACATTAATTAATGTATCCAAACCATAATTAACTCTCGATGTCATCGTATGTGTCAGATTTTCACTGGATTTGAATCCGATCTGCTGCTCAAGACCCATTGGTGATTAAATCCAAAAATGGATAAACGAAACCGTGTTGTTTTTTTTATTGTACCGACTTTAGTAATGATGGCCGAGGCTAGGCCTAATATCTTGGGAACAATTTGACTGAAATTTTCAACATATTCTATTTACGTTATCTATTTTTTAACTATTATAGCGACAACAGTCAACTCTTTATCTGATCTTCCATATAATATCAATTATAAAAGGCAAGTGATAATATAAAAAAGTAAAAAGTGATTGTACTTAAATAAACAATGTATACATGTGTTTCATCAGAAATATTGCACACTAAAAAATATAACACCATAACAAAAAGCGTTGATGTACAAAAAAACCCATTAAAAACATAACGACAAGGAAATGTAATAGTATATTTTTTTTGTCATAAAGATCAACTTCTGTCTCCTCGGTAACAAACAGTATTCTTATCTGTCTCGTGTAGCTTGACTTCGTATAATAATCCTGTCTCGAGTCTACAATCTATCTGTTCCCAGATAAATATAGCAATATTTTCTGCTGTACTGTAATAAAAAACATGTAATTATACAGGACATAGTTATAATAAATTATATTATGTGAAAAATGAGCAGGAAGTAGGAGTGGATAAGAGGGTAGGCAGGCCCGTAGCCAACTTGCTGGCTGCGGAGGGGCAATGAACTTTTTAGGGGGTTGGGGGCTGGGGGTTCTCTCCCTCTGGATGGAGCCCCGAAAACCGTTCTCTAGCGAACATACTGATAAGACAGGGGCCCATGACAGTGAGCCATTGGGCAAGTCAGTACAAAATATAGGGCAGATAGATATCAGAACATAATCAATAATATGTAATGTATACCTCATCCTTATTTGGTTGGTTTTTTTTTTAATATAAACCAACTCTCACAACGCCCCTACAAAGTTGTATAGAACTAAAACAGTATCACCATATAGTTCACTATAGGTTTAAACCATGTCCCCAAATCAATACTCGACATGATGATTCCTGACTGCTGTCTATTACAAACAGTAGGTATTTTAGAACTATGGTTGGCAACAATGGGGGGGGGGCTGCCTACCCTTGCCCACGGCTGGCTACGGATGTGCAGGTAGGAGGGATAGAGCCCAAACTCTAAAATACTATACAGAGTTTAGAGTCGGATAAGTATACTAGAAACTAGTTAGCTTAAATGGTTTCACAGTATTATATAAGACAATCGATAAATCAAAGATGCATTATGTAAGATCTAAATCTGCCTATAGCAGGTCTTTTTTATTGGTTCAAATGTTATATAAATTATAAAATAGGCATTTATTCACATAACAAGCCTATAATCAACTCTCTAGATCATCAAATGGCTGAGATATTAAATGAATTAGAACAACGGCTCCATTTAATATTCAAATGGATAATCAAGACTTTGTTTATTATCGTAGCAATGGTACTTGACAATTGAGACTATATTGTTATAATAACTCCAAACACTCATAACTTCACTTAGAATAAAGTAATTGAACTGAAATTTTCAATATATTCATTCTCCATTATCTCTATTTTTGAGCTAATATAGCAAGAACGTCTCTTTAGCTAAATTTTACATAATGCATCTTTAATGAATTGTTATGTGCGGTTTAATGGTCGAGGGCGAGACATTAAGTAATATATTGATATTGTACGAGGTCGATAGTCTGAGTGATGTGTCTATATATTACGCAATGTCTTAAACAACTGAAAATATAGACACTATTTAAATACATACTGTCAGACTGGGCTGATAAATAAAACATGCCAAAAGTCTAGAGAAATATGTACATAGAAAATGTAACATGAAATGAAATGAAATGGCGTTTAATGAACTACTGTTCTGCTCCGAACTGGGCTAATGAAGCCATACAGTGTGCTATGAGGGAAATTTTGCCCGGACAGCAGCACTACAGCTTACTCTTATATGTGTACATACGGGACCTCGGTTTTCCATCCCATCCAAACGACTAGACATCTGTCCTTGTCAGGCCCTTCGTCCAGCACCACTGACAAGGGGAACCAAGCCGGAAAATCTGGATGTACTTTCTCAATCTGGATGAACTTTCTCGGCCAATGTAGGGATCGAACACCCACCCTCCAGACTAGTGAGCCAGCGTCTTACCCACTTAACCACCATGACCGTCACATAGAAAATATACATGTGCATTATATATACATACCCTATATAGGTATACAATTATACATATATACATACCTTACTTTGTCATTGAAATATAGAACATCAAGGTCAATATTTTTATGGTCCAAGACATCCATGATACTTTCCTATTAAAATAATTGGGGCATTAATTATGACATATAAACCACCAAATTAACACTGTTTAATTTTATATATCAATTATTCGTGGCACATTTAATTCTAATGTGATTGAATGACACGCAATAATGCATCACACCAAATTAACACTTTTTAATCTTTAACATCAGTTGTTGAGTATGCCTCTATTAAAAATTAATTGATCTACAAAGCACTCTCTTCTGGGTAAAATATGAAATTACTCAATCTGATTAAAACACAGATCTATATTTCGTTTCGTTTTTTATACTTTCGATGACCTCTACTACATGAAAACCTGACAAGTTGTAGTGGGGGTTCACGTCAGGGGCCAAACGAGCGGCTTTTGACCCTATGATGTCAGACATTCCATAAATAAAAAGGCAAAGAACTCGCCGTAACAGACCGTTTCATTGGCTAATTTCTCACATCAAGTAGAACGCCTGTTACATAACAACTCTTCCAGATCCTAGTGTAGTAAAGACAAGTAAAACAAAATTTTGAACTATAAAAAACAAAACATAGTAGGATCTGTGTTTTAATTAGATTGTGAAATTACTACAAGTTGTTCACCTTCATGTGTTCCTTCAGTTGTACTAAATTTATTACCATCCCTGTAACTGGATCTACCTGAAGTGAGAGTGAGATGGGGTTTAAAGTCCACTCGACACAAAGTAGGTAATTTGGGGACTAACATATGGTTCAATTTTTATTTCAAAAATTTGCTTGCGCGTAGGTGTCTTTAGCCGTTGGAGGAAACCGGAGGGCCCAGAGAGAGAGAAAGAGGAAGAGAGAGAGAGAGAGAGGGTTTAAAGTCCACTCACACAAAGTAGGTCATTTAGGATCTAACATATGGTTCAATTTTATTTCAATAATTTGCTTGCGCCTAGGGTTCTTTAGCAGTGGGAGGAAACCGGAGAACCCGGAGAAAACCCATTAGGTTGGACAGGTGACCCTACTCCTTGTCACGTACAACCGGGGAATCGAAACCACACCAGTTGACTCAATGACAGACCTTATCATACAACACGCACACGTTAACCATTCGGCCATATGGTTCAATTTTATTTCAATAATTTGCTTGCGCCTAGGGGTCTTTAGCAGTGGGAGGAAACCGGAGAACCCGGAGAAAACCCATGAGGTTGGACAGGTGACCCTACTCCTTGTCACGTACAACCGGGGAATCGAAACCACACCAGTTGACTCAATGACAGACCTTATCATACAACACGCACACGTTAACCATTCGGCCATCCAACTCCCCTCTACCTGATGTGATAATAAAAATATACATGAAAAATCTTTATACTGCATCATTGTCAAATGAAAGATTCCTAAAGTGCCAATTCAAAATTTGGAAAAAATATCTTATTTCTCTCTTTTTACACTGTTGATGTAATATAACTGGAGAAAATAAAATGGGGTTTAACGTCCTACTGTTCTGCTCCGAACTTGGCTATTGAAGACGGGCATACGTCATACAGTGTGCTATGAGGGAAATTTTGCCCGGGCAGCAGCGCTACGGCCTACTCTTATATTGAATTCCAACTGCCAAGGGATCTTTTACATGCACGCCAATGTATGCATGGGACTTCGGTTTTTCATCCCATCCAAATGACTAGACAGCTGTCCTTGTCAGGCCTGCTCATTGAGTCACTGTCACTCCCTCTCCAGTTATATTTGGGGATCACGGTGGCTAAGTGGGTAAGGCGCTGGCTCGCTAGCCTGGAGGTCGGGTGTTCGATCCCTTCATTGGCCGAGAAAGTTCATCCAGATTTTCCGCCCTGGTTCCCCCTTGTCAGTGATGCAGGATGATGGGCAAAATTTCCCTCACAGCACACTGTATGGCGTATGCCCATCTTCATTAGCCCAGTATAGGAGCAGAACAGTAGGACGTTAAACCCCATTTCATTTCATTTCATTTCATATCATATTTATTCTCCAATAAAATAAAGGAAATACATGTATAATTAACAGGCTATTTAAATCAATATATACATGGATATATTGTGTATTCACCAGTAATAATTTGTTAATACATGTTCATTCATCTGTGCTAGGGTGGCCCACCATAAAGAAATATCTCCAAATATCTCGACAATTACGCCACAATATTTATATATATGCCAAGCCTCAAATCAGTTTCACACAATTATAGTCACTAAATAAACGATCATGTTGTACTTAATAAGCTATGACCATTAATCATCTATAAATAATAGACTGAAAACTGGTTCCAAGTGTCGTCCATAACATCCAGACACTTTTGAGTAAAAGATAGGTTACGTGCCCTTGTTTTGAAATTAGTCTTGCTTAATCAGTCTATCGACCATTCTACGTCTAATTGACAGGTCGGGATAATCAAGACTACTTTTTTACGAAACATAACAGAAAGCTAGAACAAGAAATTGAATTTAGAAATAAGCACGTTAGCTAGCTCAACAATTGTTTTAAGAAGCTTGTAAAAGTAAAATGATACTACTGCTAGTATCATGTTCCTGTCTAAACCGAGTGATTCAGAGATATTATTTGTACTAAACCAAAAGATGCCGCTCTTAACGGTACAGTTAATGATAAAGCGATTTAAAAAATAAAACGAACGTAATTTCTAAATCTGCTGTAATAACCAAGAAGCTTAATTTTACCGCTATTCAAAATCGTCAACAATAAATTTTTTACGGCTGTAATAGTTGATAGATTTGTAGAGAATTGCACGTGCCATAGCTATTTATAGTATCATACTGTCAGAAAGTTGGTCTCGACACGGCGAATGTTCACGCTTCAGTGGCAGTCTCGAACTATCAGCGGTGGACTGTATTTCTGTAGAGTGCACGGGTCACCCTATCTGTGCATTACATGTTTATTCATCTGTGCATTACATATGTATACCACAGTAACTTTCAGAGCATATATAACAGTAAATTGCCACAGAGCCCTAAAACTGACTGAAGAGAATATTCAGCGCTCTAGATTCGCTCTATAAAATGATTATTATTTTAAATTACGATGACTTTTTTTCTAATAAAGTTAATGCCGATATTGGTCTTTGCATACCCTCTCCATGCACAACACCTGTCATGAAGCCAAACCTAACCAAAGGGAGATAAAAATGACTAAATGAAAAGTACAACACTTACTGGTCCTTTCAGAATAACCTCAACTGTAACAAAAGAAATATAAAGTTTCATAAAAATAGCAAATTATTAAATTATTTGGATGTCATTGGAGGGATTACAGAGGAGGGATTAATAAATCCCTTCCCTTTCAAAATACAATATTTTGAGCCTTTTCAATGTTTAGATTTTGTTAATGATATGGAACGTCACCATAAAGCTACCATAAAGCAAAGAGTAATTTCTTTTAAAATGAACAACTTCTGCAGTACAAAAACTTTGTATGACATTACGAAAATGTTCATGGATTAAAAAACTTGGGGCTATTGCATTTTCTCACCCGCTACCACTTCCTGTGGTCGTGGAGACTTAAAATTGTCAAGGGATGTTTATGGTGATGATTGATGGCAGCCCACAAACCGTCAAAGACTTTATTTTACAGACATTTTCCTTTTCATAATTTGATATATATTGCCGACTGACATTTAATCTGATTAAAACACAGATCCTATTTCGTTTCGTTCTTTAAAATTTCAACATTTCATTTTACTTGTCTTCACTACACTAGGATCTGGAAGAGTTGTTATATTACTGGCGTTCTGGTTGAAGTGAGGGATAAGCCAATGAAACGGTCTGTTACAGCGACCTCTTAGCATGCCATGCACGGAACTGTGGGTAAACAACTAGAAACGTCAACGTTAATTGATTAATCAATGTCTGACATCATACGACCCCTGACACAACCTTCCAGTACAACTTGTTAGATCTTCATGTAATGTAGGTCATCGAAAGTATAAAAAAAACAGAATGAAATATAGATCTGTATTTTAATCAGATTGGTTGAAATTTTGTGGTTTTGGCTATCAATCACCCTTATCATCTGCTGGAAATATCAAGAACAACAGTGCCAAAAACTTCACCTACCAGTATAATTGTGGCCATGGCCATTTGGATTATTACATTTACCATACAATTCTTCATTTTCTTCATCAGATAAACATTTACTGTATATAAAATAAAAGACACAATTATATAAAATAAAAGACACAATTATATAAAATAAAAGACACAATTATATAAAATAAAAGACACAGCTATATATAAAAAAAAAAGAAGAGAGGACACAATTATATAAATAAAAGACACTATAATATAAAATAAAAGACACAATTATATAAAATAAAAGACACAACTATATAAAATAAAATATGCTATTATATAAAATAAAAGACACTATTAAATAAAATAAAAGACACTATTATATAAAATAAAAGACACTATTATATAAAATAAAAGACACAACACCTCAACAGGCAACACCCACGTATAAAATTCACAATGGAAACCGAAAATGATAACCAACTACCCTTCCTCGATGTTTGTGTATCTAAAACCAACAACTCGATCCACACCAGTGTCTATAGGAAACCAACCCACACCGACCAATACATTCACTTCAAATCTAATCACCCGAACAGCGTCAAATCGGCCACAATTTCAACTCTGGTGAACCGTGCGAAAAAGATATGTGATCCTGAGAGCCTCTCCAAGGAAATTGATCATCTCAAACATGTCTTCACAAATTTCAACGGCTATCCAGGGAAGTTTGTGACAAACGCCATCAACAAGACCCTGTCGGCGAGTGAAGCTAAACCAAAAACCCCGACTGCCCCAGTCAGAATCTTCCTTCCTTTCAACGGCAAAGTCTCCTACCAAATCAAACGGCTACTAATGCAACAACCAGAAATAGATGTAACTTTCACAAAAAGCTACAGCACTAAAGATATATTAAGAGCCAATGGTAAACAAAATCCTACACAACCACCACAACCAAAGGGATGTGTTTATCAAATAGTATGCAATTGTGGGATTGCATACATCGGGGAGACAAAGCGACCATTAAATAAAAGGATAGATGACCACAAGTCGAAAGCAGCAACCAACAACTCAGCTGTAGCTGAACATTTGAACTCCAACCCTCGCCACAGAGTCCAACGGTCCAATGTAAAACCACTATGCAAGAATATAAGCAACAAGAGAGCGCGCCGATTACATGAAGCCATTCATATACGACGAAACAAACCAACGATGAACAGAGATCAAGGATTGTTCCTCCCCAGGGCGTATGATATTCTTATCACATAATCAAGGCTAAGCATAATTCTACTTTTTTCTTTTTTATCATATTTAATACTTATCAATATTCCAGTAATAACTTTAAGTTTGTAATAACCATCATAATATGCAAAAATGACAATAATAATTCCCAACTATTTTTGCTTTTCAGGCATTTTTGCTTTTCAGGCCTGCGGTTATTGTAATTTAATGCACTCAATATTTCTAACCCTGCTTTTCTACATCACAATAACATCCAGTGAAGTACCACACAATATTTTAAATTGTCAGCCTTCAGGGGACTATTGATCATTTGTGCAGTCATTGTTCTAAGTGTTTTTCGTATAACAGTGTAATCACTCGCATCAACATCCACATATCAATTATTTTGGTCATAACACCAATCAAATCTCATCTTCGTGGGATGTTGTCATTATCAAAACCTCATCAAATCGTTGTAAATACTCCACAACAATCTATTCTTTTATCATTTGTATTTATTTCAGTGAAAGGGGTCGTTGATAACATTTCATCAATTTTCATTTTCTTGCAACGTTTGTATTATTAAAACCCACTTATCATTGTGTATACTCCACAACAACTTATCCATTAATCAATTAGTCAATTTTTTAGGTTAATTGGTATTATTACTTATTAGCGTACAATTAAATCAGATTACCATTAGGTACACGTAATTAAGTTACATCCCTGGTTTGTCAGCATTAACTAAGCATTGTGGTGTACATGTATATATTGTCCTGTCATATTTTCATTTTTTATCATAGCTTGATAATGACTAGAGAAGCCTAGTCAAAACGTCGCTCAGTAAAAAGCAGTAATTGTATTCCATAGAATTGTGACCTGTATACTCTAGTTCAATTACTAAATGCCATTGAAACAGTTTATATAAAATAAAAGACACAATTATATAAAATAAAAGACACAATTATATAAAATAAAAGACACAATTATATAAATAAAAGACACTATTATATAAAATAAAAGACACTATTATATAGAATAAAAGACACTATTATATAAAATAAAAGACACAACTATATAAAATAAAAGACACAGCTATATAAAATAAAAGACACTATTATATAAAATAAAAGACACTAATATATAAAATAAAAGACACAACTATATAAAATAAAAGACACAACTATATAAAATAAAAGACACAATTATATAAAATAAAAGACACTATTATATAAAATAAAAGACACAATTATATAAAAGACACAATTAAAGACACAATTATATAAAATAAAGGACGCAATCATAAAATTTTTTACGGAATAATTCAATAGAAACACTCTAGACATTCACCTAATGAACATCTACACCAAGTTTAAACATTCTACCTCAATTAAAAGAAAAGTTATTGTATTCTAAAGTTTCGACCAATGAGATTGAAGTCTCTACTTTGCCTAAGCGGTAAATGATCATCATTGAACTTAGTCAAGGTATTGATGTAATGAAACTATACGCAAAGTTTCACCACTCTCACTCAATTAGAATCAAAGTTATTGAGCTCCAAAGTGTCAACCTATCAAATTGCTTATTGCATTGCTTCACCTGAGCAGAAAATGCTCATTATTGAACTTAGTCATGGTATTTATGTAAAGAAACTACACACCAAGTTTCATCACTCTCACTTAATTAAAACCAAAGTTACCAAGTCCAAAATCATCAACCAACCAAATTTCTTATCTTTGCTTAGCCTGAGCAGAAAAGGCTCATCTTCGAACTCCATCTAGGCATTCACCTTATAAACACCTACACCAAGTTTGAACATTCTCGCTCAGTTAGAAGGAGGGTTATTTTGTCCCAAAAAGTGTGACGGACAAACTGGTCCATCGATGTGCCAAAAGGACTGACGGACAGACTTCAAAAGGCAGGTGACAATAAAATAAATGGTGCAAATGAGAGATGGACAGACAAATCACAGGGATAGGGTTAGGGTGATGACATTTCATGAATGCTGAAATAGTGAGTCCATGCAAAAGATTTGTAACTGTCAAGTTTATGTACATCGGCGCCCTCCGAAACCCTTGCTACGGGCCTGTTTAGGAATACGGGAGCCACGGTGGCTGGGTGGTTAAGACGCTGGCTTGCTAGCCTGGAAGTCGGGTGTTCGATGCCTTCATTGGCTGAGAAAGTTCATCTGGATTTTCCGACGTGGTTTTCCCTTGTCAGTGGTGCAGAACGGAGGGCCTGACAAGGACAACTGTCTAGTCCTTCGGATGACACGAAAAACCGAGGTCCCATATGTATACATTAGAATGCACGTAAAAGATCCCTTGGCAGTTAGAATTCGATATAAGAATAAGCGATTGTGCCACTGCCTGGGCAAAATTTCCCTCATAGCACACTGTATGGCGTATGCCCGTCTTCATTAGCCCAGTAATATAGGAGCAGAACAGTAGGACCATAAACCCCATACATTTTTAGGAATACATTTTTAGTAGCTGTGCATAACTACCCCCTATCCTTCCTGGGTCCATTGTCTATTCATGAGATATTTTAATTAAATAAATTAAGCTTTTGTACTGCAGAATAATTGTCTTCAAATGAATTCCTTATATAATAATCTTCATTTGGCCTGTGGTTGCTATGGATACCTTATCACAGCTCTATCTAATTACAAGTACTGTACAAGTCTATTTTTGTACTTTCAACTAGAGACAATAATGTCAAGAAACACAGGCCTGTAAACGGTCACATAATAATAAGCTTAATATTGATTCGAGTAGCGAGCGGATAGAAATAAAATCTAATTAACCGATTTGCGGTCCTTAATTTATTAAGACAATAAGATGCCACTAAAATTATACTACCTATGAAGTCTGTGAGATGCACTGAAAGATTCTTTTCTACTGACATACACTAGGGGTAGATCGACACTTTCAGCGGTGTCAGTCATCCTTTCCTTTGGTGAGGCTTGAAACATATTGATCAGCCAGACAGCTGACAGCTTCAAAAGATGCGTGTGCTGTAAATAGTAATGATTATGAAACGGAAGTAGACAAACCACGTGGGACGGTAAACAAAATGTCAGGAAGAGAAATTGTCACGCTTCAAATTGGTCATTATTCTAACTTTATTGGTGCCCATTGGTGGAATCTTCAGGTATTTACGAATAAATTATAAATCCAAGAGTAGATGATTAGAAAAATAGGAACATTTTGTGCAGATTTCTACAGCTATTGGAAGATAAAACAGAGAATATTTTTCTACTTTCGATTTCTGTCAATGAAGTACTTCGATGTTTATCATAAACTTTATGAAAATTGGGTCCCTAACTGACTGGTTCGATCCCTGCATTGGCCGAGAAAGTTCACCTAGATTTTCCGGCGTGGCTCCCCCTTGTCAGTGATGCAGGACAGAGAGCCTGACAAGGACAGCTATCTAGTCATTCGGATGAGACGGAAAACCAAGGTCCCGTGAAAACATTGGGGTGCACGTAAAAAGATCCCTCGACAGTTGGAATTCGATATATCATAGCAGTTGTTATACTGCCTGATGTTTAAAGAAAATAGAATTTATTTGTTATCTTCGAGTTCGTTATGTGGAGTCACCATAAAGTGAGTAAGACGTTGGCTCGCTAGCCTGGAGGTCGCAGGTTTGTTCCTGGTTTTGGCCAAGAAAGTTCATCAGGATTTTCCGGTGTTGTTTCCCCTTGTCAGTGTTGCACAATGTAGGGCCTGACAAGGACAGCTGTCTAGTCGTTCGAAGGAGATGATTAAAGATATAAAATCAGCTGGTCCGTAGGGTTTTAAGTCTGCTTCTAATCCACCTTAGGTGATACCGCAGACAAGCCCCTCACTTTAGCTAATCAATCCTCTTATATAGGCCAACAGTACGTGCACTCCAAGAATATACATGAGTTTGGGCAAACCATAAATGTAGTTGAGTTTAGGCAACCCACCAATACTTGTCGTTTAGATATCTTGGTTTTATCAACTTCTGGGAAATTACGAAATCACTACATTAGGCTTTTTTCTTTTCAAAGAGTGTGTGAGTGTGTGAAATAGCTTTATTTAATGTCCACTTCCACCGACGTTAAAGAGTGTCGCCCCGTAGAACAACAAAAAGGATGAGGAGCGCATGGGAATCAGTTCTTGGTACAAAACAAGTCAACATTATGCCATGAAATACCATAGATCAAAATATCAGACTATTTCAGTGATTTAATTTCCTACCACACACAATCAATGGTAGGCCTACTACCAGAAACTACAAATAGTTCCACCTGCCTACTGACCAGTCCCGGCCAATCAACGGTACTATCAGAAACTACAAATAGTTCCACCTGTCTACTGACCAGTCCCGTCCAATATTCATTGATGAAATGGTTGAACTGGATGATCGAGTCTGTGGTATCTGTGAAGGTTTAAGATTTAAAAATACTGGAATATAAGTAACTGACCTTGCTTAACGCTGTGTGTGTGTGGGGGGGAGGGGAGGGTGGATGGCTGAATGGTTAGCGTGCGCGCTGCATCACAAAGTCTGTCATTGAGTCAACTAGTGTGGTTTCAATTCCCTGTTCAAATTCATGGGTTTTCTCCGGGTCCTCCAGTTTCCTCCCACTGCTAGGGTTAGGGTTAGACCCCTACGGGCAAATGAATTATTGAAATAAAATTGAACAATGTTAGTCTCGAAGAGTGGATGTTAAACTCTCTCTCTCTCTCTCACACCTGTGTTTAATGTGTTTTTTTTATTTTAAGGAATCTACCTTTCTATATGATGCTGGCAGGGAGAAAGGTGATGATTGTGTCAATCATGATATTTTGTTTAGAGAAGGAATTACCTTTCAGGTAATAATTATATTATTATCACATACATCTACCTAGGCCAAACTGAATTAGTTTTTAGTTCTCCTGTGGTTTGATAAATAATCATTGGCTCGAATACCGAGAGCAATTATTTTGTTTAAATTTTCAAAACGTAAAAAATCTTTTTGTGACGAGCAAACAAGTAGGTCTACTTTTTATTTTGAACTTATTTTTTTTTATTTTTGCTAAAAACTAACAAGCAATAAATGTTCTTAAAGAGCAAAAGTTTAAATTGGTGTGGCTTTATGATTGATATACTGATTGAATTTGACGCATCTTAGGTTTTGTTGTGACCAAAAATCGGGACTTTTAATGATGAGATAACTGTAAAATTATTGCCCCAATCTGTCGGCTGCATGAAAGTCATATTCTTTTTTTTGTCTAAGAAATAACAGATTTTTTTGCTCTAGGTTTCAATGTGATTTTCAATCCATTAATCTGTCGTTCACAATAATCCATATATCTTCGTGAAATTGATATGGGTTGTTTATCTCATTGAATGAAGAAGCCTATTGATTTTCAGTGATTTTCAGTTAAAACTTCCATAGTTTTTCCTATTACTTATGAAATCTTGTTAGCACCTTTAAGACTATAATAATTATCCAATATTTCAGAAAATTACATTGGTTGGCTATCCAGCCTATTGAAAGGAAGAAACCTTTTGATTTTGAACAATTTTCAGTGATAGCATCCAGAGTTATTCCCCTTTGTTATGAAATCTTATTAGCCCCTTATTATCGTTTTGAAATTTTTATGAGTTGTTTAGCTCATAACTGTTCAGATGACTTAGTTGCTTAAGAGTGTAGGTTTTGTTGCTTGTCCGGTTGTACGTGACAAGGAGTAGGGTCGTCTGTCCAACCTCGTGGGTTTCCTCCCACTGCTAAAGACCCCTACCCTCAAGCGAATTATTGAAATAAAGTTAAACCATAAGTTGGTCCCGAAATGACCTAGTTTGTGTCGAGTGGCCGTTAAACCCCATTTCTCTCTCTCTCTCTCTCTCTCGTTCTCTTTTGTTGCTTGTCAACCCATGTTGTTTATTTGAATTTATATTTAGGGAGCTGTGACGTATACACCACGATTAGTAGCGATAGATTTAAAAGGTAGTTTAAATACCTTAAATAGAAGTGGTGGATTATATGAAGATGGCAGGGAAGACGAAGTCAAGTGGTAAATATTTTATCTAGTATAAGACATCTGCAGGGGTTGGATGCCCACTTTTGGGGATCACGTGGCTAAGTGGGTAAGACGCTAGCTCGCTAGCCTGAAGGTCGGGTGTTCGATCCCTGCATTGGCCGAGAAAGTTCATCCAGACTTTCCGGCGTGGTTCTCCCTTGTCAGTGATGCAGGACGGAGGGGCTGACAAGGAAAGCTGTCTAGTCGTTCAGATGGGATGAAAAAGCGAGGTCCCGTGTACACATTGGCGTGCACGTAAAAGATCCCTTGGCAGTTGGAATTCGATATAAGAGTAGGCCGTAGTGCCGCTGCCCGGGCAAAATTTCCCTCATAGCACACTGTATGACGTATGCCCGTCTTCATTAGCCCAGGTTAGGAGCAGAACAGTAGGACGTTAAACCCCATTTCATTTCATTTCATTTTGGATGCCCACTTTAGATCATTAGGTCTGTCATTGAGCCAACTGGCGTAGTTTTGATCCCACACTTGTATGTAACAAGGATTTTCTGCAGCCTTCTCCAGTTTCCTCCCACTGCTAAAGATCCCTCTGCGCAAGCGTATTATTGAAATAAAATTAAACCATGTGTTAATCCCGAAATGACATAGTCTGTATCGAGTCAACATTAAGCCCCATCTCTCTCGCTCTCTTTCAAAAGACATTTGCAATAAACTTGTATTCCATTTGAAATAATGAAAAAAGATGCACATGATTTTTCATATCTCTAATTCTATTATATAGGTCTGAAGATGTTACTTTACATGAGGCCATGTCAGGTCCAAAAAATGAATATTTAACAGATCTAGAAATGGAGTGTGAGGTAATCTACAATAATTTTTCTGTCGAATAATGATAGTATATGTCACCACCTCAAGTGGAGAAATACACATTTGTGTTGACTCCCTTGGAGACACAGAAATTTCCGGTTTCAAAATGCTCAAGCGAGGTTTAGAGAGGATTTGTTCTGGCAGAGTTGACAAGTGATCTGTTAGCTTGTCTTGCGGTTTGGTTAAAATCCCAAGATCTACCTCTTTCTCAGGGTGTTGGATGGCCGAATGGTTAGCATGTGCACACTGTATCATAAGGTCTGTCATTGAGTCAACTGGTGTGGTTTCGATTCCCAGGTTGTACATGACAAGGAGTAGGGTCGCCTGTCCAACCTCGTGGGTTTTCTCCGGGTCCTCCGGTTTCCTCCCACTGCTAAAGACCCCTACGCGCTAGCGAATTATTGAAATAAAATTGAACCATTTTTTCGTGCCGAAATGACCTAGTTTGTCTTGAGTGGACGTTAACCCCCATCTCAGTGTTGATGTGTCAACTAGTGTTGCCTGAAGTCACTCACACAACTCAATGCACCTGTATTTACACGTAATCTGCGGGAGCCCATACACAACTATAGAAACACTCTAGCATCAATATGAAATTCCTACCTCAAACAAGGTGAAATAATATTGATGAAGAGTAAAATTCTCCTTTCTAGCACTGCACACACAATGTGATTAAAACACAGATCCAATTTCGTTTCATTTTTTATAGTTTTACTTGTCTTTACTACACTAGGATCTGGAAGACTTGTTATTTAACTTGTGTTCTGCTTGAAATGAGGGGTCAGCCAATCAAATTGTCTGTCGAATTGTGTGTTTGACCTTTTTTGCACGGAACTGTGGGTAGACATTACCAGCGATAGAAATCAAAACAAAGCAAAAGTAGAATTAAAAAAGCATGGCGGTCGCTAATTGGTTAATCGAATGACTGACGTTATCAGGTCAAATGTCGCTTGCTTGGTACCTGACGTCATAGAACGTGAACTCCCACTATAACTTGTTAGATCTACATGTAGTGTTGGCCATCGAAAGTATAAAAAAACAAAACGAAATATAGATCTGTATTGTAATCAGATTGCTGCACACATGACCTTGAGATATACATTGACTGACATGTAATGTTCTCCAGTTAGTTAATTTCAATATTCCTGAAACCAGCTAGATCCTTGCCGGTAACTACTTTCAACTTGGCTTCCACTCATCCTGCTTCAATAATTAAAGGACACAGTTCAAGAGAAATGATGTCGTGTCTCATGAGTTTATATGTTTTGTATAAATCTTGTGGGGGGTTTTGTGAAAATGGTGTAATACTTTACATTTTACTTAACCTTGATAAAATTGTTAACCCCTCCATGCTGAAGAATCAGAAACCTTCCTTCAGCTGAGATTAGGGAACGAATAGCATGACACTAGTGTTGGATTCATTTCATTTGTCTAATTAAAAGCTAATGCTAGGTTCCCACTGTCACGATTCATGCTGCGATTGAAATCATGGTTTTAATCGTGGAGTAATCGTGGTTATCCTATCAGGTTTAATCATATATTGAGGTCAGTCGTAGCACAATCATGTTGATCGTATCTAAACGTATCTGCATGTACCAGAGCGTGGACTCAATAGGGACAATACTATCATAACGCATCGCATGACAGTGGTAACCTGACATAAAAAAATAATAATGAATTTGGTTGAGGTCAAAACAGTGAGTTAGTTTCGAGTAATGCAATTCAGTAAAATAAATTAAAATGGTATAATTCTCCATTAGTAATTATGTGATGTTGTTTTAAAGGAATCTACCTCTAAAAGAAAATGTGATTATTCAAAAGAAAATGAAGATGAAGATCTATTACGGGAAGGTAAAAAAGGTCCATGTTAAATTCTTGTTTACCCTATTTCTTTATAGTGTATACATACCTTAAGTCTAGCTCACAACCGGCCGTATGTGCTACTACGGTGGACATTTTAGTAAACCCATGCATGAGATTACGCGTCACATGCGTGTGTTCGTCACTCTAGAAGATAGCAGACTGGTCGTAGAGACTTTTGTTCGTGCACATACAAAATTTTCACCCTGTTTCTTGCGGCTGGTCTATGAGCTACCAAACCCTTTACCCTAGGTTGTGTGCTAGGCTTTAAATAATGGTTGTGAATAAGTTGTCTGCGATATCACTACGGTGGAAGCGAATGTTAAATAAAGCTATTTCACACACACACACACTAGTTTTAAAGCCGCTGATCGAGGTATTACCTCTGTGGAAGCAGACGTTAAATATAGCTATTTCACACACACACATAGTTTTAAAGCTGCTAATCGAGGTATTTTAAATCCTTTGCAAACTATAATACTGTGAAAGTTGAATCTCTGAAAGGAGTATCGGTTCGATTGAGTATTTAAAAAAATATGATGAATTGGAATTTTTGCAAACCAGCACTGCCTTTCCATGTTTGGTAAAATGTTTTGATGGGTCTTATTTTAATCAGGTTAGGAGATTGTCTGCCATAGATATTTTTGTTAGGTTTTCTTAATTAAGTGTTATGTTATCTAATTTGAATGCGAATGGCGATCTGCAGTTTTGAAATATATAGCTTAACATGAAACCAATGTTTTTGTAATCCGGGGAGATTTGGTGCCTAATTGAGTAAGATGCTGGCTTGCTAGCCTGAAGTTCGCAGGTTCACTTCCGGTGTTGGTCAAGAAAGTTCATCAGGATTTTCTGGTGTGGTTTGCCCTTGTCAGTGGTGCAGGACGGAGGGCCTGACAAGCACTGCTATGTCTAGTCGTTCGGAAGGGACGATAAACCGAGGTCGCATATACACACATTGGCAGTTGAAATTCAATATGCCCGTCTTCATTAGCCCAGTCGGAGCAGAACATTAGGACGTTAAACCCTCTTTCATTTCGTTTTTGTAATCCAGTTTTCTATTTTCTTTAATTTAGCCAAGAGAGAAGCCAATGATGAAATTTTTGGTCCTAAGTTTTATCAATTAAATGATGACATAAGAGTATGGTCTGACTACATGAGAACATATCTACATCCTAAATCTATTCATATTATTAATGAATATATGCATGCAGAGTAAGTAAACAAAGATTTTTATTGGCTTTAGGATGATTAATGCATCCAGAAGGTCGTGGGTTCGACCACGGTGTTGGCCGAGAAAGTTCATTAGGATTTTCCGGTGAGGTTTCCCTTTGTCAGTTTACAGGACGGAGGGCCTGACAATGACCGCTGTCTAGTCATTCAGATGTGATGAAAAACCAAGGTCCTGTTCTGCTCCAACTGGGCTAATGAAAATGAGCAACGCCATACAGTGTGCTATGAGGAAAATTTTGCCCGGGCAGCGGCACTATGGCTTACTCTTATATCGAATTCCAACTGTCAGAGGATCTTTTACGTGCACACCAATGTATACACAGGTCCTCGATTTTGCGTCCCATCTGAACAACTAGACAGCTGTCCTTGTCAGGCCCTCCATCCTGCGACACTGACAAGGGGAAACCACGCCATTCAACACAATCAAAAATGTTTGAATAGATAGTTAATCAGAATATATTTTCAGTGAACAACGTCCATTTAGTGTTTTTGGAATGGGACAACATGTCTTCTCAGATCCTGATATTTTTGAACAAGTTGAAGATAGAATCAGATTTTTTGTTGAAGGTTGCGATCAACTTCAGGTACAAAGTTTCTTATATACTAAAGATAAACATATTACTTGTGAGGAAAATTTTGGCCCCTGTCGGCACTTTTTAATGCAGTCAGAAAAGGGCATGACCCTATTTTTTCCGGTTGGATTTATATTTTTTATATTTATACAATCAGCATTGACACTTTTAGTGGGTTACCCACAGTTCCGTGCATCGCACACCAAGAAGTCTCCGTAACAGATGGTTTCATTGGCTAATTCCTGGCGCCATCCAGATCGTAGGTTATATAACAACTCTTCCAGATCCTAGTGTTGTGAAGACAAGTAAAACGAAATTTTGAACTATAAAAAACGAAACGAAAAAGGAGCTGTGTTTTGGTTTGCAGCACCCTACTTGTGGAACTCCCTCCCCCACCATATTCGAATAATATCATCATTGCATGTGTTTAAACAACAGATAAAGACTCTGCTTTCCACTATTGAAAAATTTGCCTAGCACAAAAAAAACTTTAATTTGTATTGTTGCGTGAATATAAATTTAGATATATTATTATTATTATTATTATCCGTGTTTAACAAGAGATAAAACAAAGCAGCTAATGATTATTTGTGTTGTTATTTCAGGGGTTTCATATACTAGCAGACGCATGTGATGGATTTGCTGGAAGTGCCAGCTGTTTTTTACAATATTTAGAAGATGAGTTTCACAGTAAGAGTAGATTAACGTTTGGTGTTACGCCTCCTACATTACCAGATTCAGTAAGTATACATGATAAATAGATTACAAACTAAATGAATCGGAGCCACGGTGGCCGAGAAAGTTCATCGGGATTTTCCGACGTGGTTGCCCCTTGTCAGCGGTGTAGGAAGGAGGGCCTGACAAGGACAGCTGTCTAGTCATTCGTATATAATGGAATTCGATATAAGAGAAGGCTGTAGTGCTGCTGTCCAGGAAAAATTTCCCTCATAGTACACTGTATGCAAATGCCCGTTTTTATTAGCCCAGTTGGAGCAGAACAGCAGGACGTTAAACCCATTTCATTTCATTTCATAAGGTCACAATTTTTTTCCAATTTTGATGAAACTTGAAAATGTATGTTTATATCCCAAAGATCTGGGTTTTTTCGATACTTGCGCATATCAGAATGTAACTTCCTGTATTATGGTCCCTGATTGTACGTAAGAAATTTTTTTTACATTGTTCTCTGTCCATCTCTTGCAAAATGTGGGCTTACCTTACATGGCAACCGCTTGTTAACCTGTACTTGTGTTTATTATTACAGACAGCTTTAGATAGATGTAACCGAATTATAAACCATGCGTTAAGTTACGAGAAGATGTGTGAATATAGTTCGTTATATATACCGTTATCGCTTGCTACATCTTTATGGAGGAAGATTGGAGCACCACAAAAATTCCCCTATTTACAATACAAGGTTTGTTTAATACAATTTTAACAGGATATAGCCTCACTGATTTGATTGAAAAAGAAAACACATCGATGGCCTAGACAGTTGATTATGGTCTGGATATGTTAATTAATGTCTAATTAATAATTTAGATAATATTTAAGGCCCAAAGAAAGACCTGAAATAGGCAGATTTAGCTCTTGTGTAATGTACCCTTAAAATAGAAATTACAAAGAGACATTAGGCTGAGAGGAAGATGTTACAGGAACAGAACAATATCTGCATAATTTAAATTGTTTTGAAGTGATCAATTAAACCTACATTATACAAGAGCTAAATCTGCCTATTGCAGGTCTTTCTTTAGGCCTGAAATGTTATCTAAATTATTAATTGGATATTAATTAACATGAAAAGACCATAATCAACTCTCGATGTCATCGCTAACCTGCGATATTTACTGGATTTGAATGCATATTTTGATGGATGATTTAATATCAAAATGGATAATCAAGACTTTGTTTTTTATAGTACCGATTTTAGTAATGATGATCGAGACTAGCCTAAAATTCAATCGCTAATAACTCAGTTCATAGTTGAGCAATTTGACTGAAATTTTCAGCATATTCTATTTTCATTATCTATTTTTTAGCCATTATAGCGAGAACTGTCAATGAGTGTTCATTTATGATTATATGTGTCCTTATTCGTCTTGATATTGTACCTTTATTTTTATTACAGCCTGAGTTACATTATCATACTGGTGCTATATTAGCGTCTGCTGTTGATACCATGACGATGCCATATAGAAGAGAAGATAACTCTGTTCATATTACCGATATAACTCAATCATTTAGTACACTTGGTAGAAAAGTGAGTTAATTGTTTTTTTAACGAACAGGGGGCCACAGTAGCTCAGTGAGTAAGTTGATAGGTTGCTAACCTGGAGGTCACGTATTCGATCCCAGCCTTGGTCAAGAAAATTCATCGGAATATTTTTCCGTTGTTCTCCCTTGTCAGTGATGCAGGGCGCAGGGCCTGGTAAGGGACAATGTATAGTTTTTTGGATGAAACATACAAACAAGGTCCTGTGTACATGTAAAAGATCCCTTGGCAGTTGGAATTCAATTTAAGTTTAGTCGGAGCAGTGTTCGATCCTGGTGTTGGTCAGTGATGCAGAGCGTATGGCCTAGCTAGGGACAATGTATAGTCGTTTGGATGGGATGTTAAACCCCATTTCATTTCATTTTCTTTTTACAAACAACCCTCAGGAACAAATTTTAGTTTGTATAAACTGGGAACAGTAATGAATTGATGAAAACCCCTAAAAACAAGGACCTAGTCATATTATTGGTGTATTTGGCTGGTTTATCGGGTTATTATGAAGATAATAGTAAGTGAAAGGGTGCTGCACCACACATAATTTACACAAAAACAAATATATGGACAAGACATATTACGCAGAAGTCACAAACAAACGCACAATTCAAATAAAGTGAATGGATCCGGGGGCTAGCCGTAAGCGTCCACTGTGCTGTACAGTTCCGGGCCTGTAGTGATAGTTCTACCACATATATGATAATGACTGGCACCAATATTGTCCTTTAATGTTTGAATATATTTTTATTATTCAGCTAGCATCGCTGAGTAGCAGCTTACCTTATGTAATGGCTGAAGATGAACAGACATTTGCTGATAGTTTAATGTTGCTAGGTGATAAATCACCATGGCGATCTCTATCACCACACATTCATAACTCTGTATCACCCGATGTTCAATCCTGTGTTGTTCGTGGTATTCCATCAGACAGATTAAAAAGGTATTTTTGATGTTTATTCGGGAATGGTCACCCTCATAAATAAGTAGCTCATTTTTCTGTATTTTCTGCTAGGTACCAAGAGTTTTTAGGCTATAAGGTTACAGTGTTAAAATATTCTAAAATTACTGTTGTAATCTGTTTGAAATTATTGCAAAAAAATCAAAAAATTAAGACTGATCTTGAAGCCTTTTCCTGCTTCATAGTAATACGGAATGTAAGGCATATTATTATTATTATTATTATTATTACAGCATATTTATAACATGTTCAGGGGCTCTTTACAAAGTGACAATATAATCATAAATAAACAACAAGATTGTGGACATGTTAACGATTGTATACAGAGTCCGTTAAAAGCCTGATTAAATAAATATTGAGGAAAGAAACACAGTATTATGCGGCTAGCGCTTTCAGGCCTTTAATAAATTCTCCATTAATCATTAGCCTACATATCGTCGATGAAGTGTCACAAGGGTGTATCTAAGAATTTCTAAAGATTAAGAAATAGAACCTTTTGCATTTCAAAATTTCCACAAATTAAGATACAACATTTGGACACATGATACCTAGAACAGTTCTTATTGGCATAGAGATACACAGCTTAGACAGAAATGTCCATATTAAAGGAGCTAAATCGGTAATATTTTGGAGCTAGAAATTGGCACAAATGGGTCGCAACACATATAATAATATAATAGGAATTTATATAAACTGTTTTACATTCAATCGTTTCTGTTTTACTGTGAATTGTCATCAGTTATGTTCGGCGATATACGCCAGAAGTCTCAACCGACAGTCAGTTTTTAGCGTCTGGTTATTCCAGTCAACATCGATAGTATTTATTGTGCATGCTCTACAAATAAGAATATGGCATTATCGTTTGATATGACATGTGGAATATATGTCTAGCCTCATTCTTTGAGCACCTTGTTACAAATTGCACTGAAACGCATTATGGTACACCTGGTAAAATGTTTATTTGACTAATTTCCTGAGATACACCCTTTTGACCCTTCACCGACGATATATATAAACAAACTTTACCAAACCAAAATATTATTATACTACAAGTTCACAGCACTTGTCCACGGCCTGTATATTGTATCGAATTTGAACGTTTTTTGAAAGATGTTTAGTGATGTATACAATAGTGATGACCACTAATTAACCTATTATTATTACCCATGAAGGTTGCCTCATGTTATCTATAAATTGTTTATATTTTATGTTACAGTAGAAAGAGTTTATTAGATAAATCATCATTATCTGATATATTACAACAATATTTAACAGATGTATATTCTAATACACAGAAGTAAGTACAAATCAACATTATCAGATATATTATAACCAGGGGCAGATCTAGGAATTTTGAAAAGGGGGGGGCGCTGCAAAATGAAGGCATTGACACCGCGGAGACGGGGCACGCAGCTGAGGGGGGGTGGGGTCCCCAAGAAAATTATCCGTCATTTCCTTGCATCGGTAGCCATTCCAAGAGCTATTTCCCAGACTGGTGTGTTTGAGTCGATGGTTTGAGTCATTTGGGATCCCTACAACGGGTTGGGAACGGCACTTTCAGCAGTAAAAAAAGGGCACTGTCGGAAATTAGGGGGGGGCGCGCCCCTCGCGCCCCCCATTGAATCCGCCTCTGATAACAATAACCTATAAAATAAATCATCTGATATATTATAACAATATTTAACAGAAGTAAGTACTATAACTTATCGTGTATAAACACTTGAAAGATAAATATCTCGGCCTTTTTGGAGTCATGGTGGCTGGCTGGGTGAGTTAAGGTGCTGGGTGACTGAGTAAAGGTGTTGACTGAGTAAGTAAAGGTAATAAACGTACTGAGTGAGTAAAGGTGCTGGCTGGGTGAGTAAAGGTGCTGACTGAGTGAGTAAAGGTGTTGGCTGGGTGAGTAAAGGTGCTGACTGAGTGAGTAAAGGTGCTGGCTGGGTGAGTAAAGGTACTGACTGAGTGAGTAAAGGTGTTGACTGAGTGAGTAAAGGTAGTAAACGTACTGAGTGAGTAAAGGTGTTGGCTGGGTGAGTAAAGGTGCTGAGTGAGTGAGTAAAGGTGCTGGCTATGTATCCCGGAAGCTGAAAATGTTCCTCCAGTTTTTCAGTCTGGTTTCCCCTTGTGCAGGATGAAGAACCTGTCAAGCACAGCTCTCTAGCTGTTTGGATAGGAGTAAAAACGAGATTCTGTGTACGTTAAAGATCCCTTAATGAAGAGTAGGCAGACATGTGGCAGAGGTGGGAACTCGAGTCTCACGACTCAGACTTAAGTCGTATCAATGACCTGATTTGCGACTAAGCTTAGGGCTTAGGGCTCAAGTCATGGCGAGAGTGCATAACTCTAACTTAGCTTATTTGCCATGATTTGTTGACTCATTTGATGAAATGGCGACTTGAATGGGACTTGTGAAGACCTGGGACTCGGCTTGAACTCAAGATGCGGTCACTTGGAACTCAAGGTCCCGCAATTTGTTCCCCATCTCTGAAATGGCCCACAATGACATATACTAATGTCCAAAAGAAAGTATACACACTAAAAATATGACTAAGTTTTGTTTGAATCAACAAAATGTGATAAAACTACACTGAACATCTCTCAAACGTCCAAACTCATTATTTCTAAGCAAATAAATGGCAAAACAAATGGACATTGTACCCAAATACCGCATACAATGGAAATACGACTTTGTTTGAAGCAGGACGAAATGCACAGTGTATACTTTCTTGGGGATATTAGTGATTAATGTGAACAAATTTATATATATGTGCATAGAGAGAAACAATTAGGGACAGACATTTAACATGCAGATGAAAACATACACTCTTACAACATAGGTAATATAATACAAGTACGATGTTTTTTTTACCCATGTGTCATGTAGCTGATCACATATCGTTCCAGTGAATCTATGTTCTATTTGTATATTAGTTCTGACTGTATTACTATATTGTTCCTGTGAATCTATTTGTATTTTAGTTCTGGCTGTATTACTATATTGTTCCTGTGAATCTATTTGTATATTTTAGTTCTGGCTGTATAATGAAAGAATCGTGTTGTGTTTCGGCACCGTTTCCACATATATTCACTCCTGATATTAACAGACTTGGTTTCTTGTCTTCAAGTCCTAGATTACCCAAACAAGGTAGGTATATCTTCTATATAAAACTCCTTACCTAAAACAAGGTAGGAATATATTTTATATATAACACCTTACCTGAAACAAGAAAGGAATATATTTTATATATAACACCTTACCTGAAACAAGGAAGGTATATATTTTATAATAAAACACCTTACGTAAAACAAGGTAGGAATATCATCTATATCTAATACCTTACCTGAAACACGGAAAGAATATATTTTATATATAACACCTTACCTGAAACAAGGTAGGTATATATTTTATATAAAACCCCAATCAGATTAAAAAACAGATCTATATTTCATTTCGTATTTTATACTTTCGATGGCCTACACTACATGAAGATCTGACCTGTTGTAGCGATAGGTCGCGTCAGAGTTCATACGAGCAGGGGCAGCTTTTGACCTTGTTACATCAGACATTTGATAAACCAATCAGCATTGATGTTACTAGTGGATTACACACAGTTCCATGCAAAACACGCCTAAAGCTTGCAGTAACAGACAATTTCATTGGATAATAGCTCACATCATTCAGAACACGTCAATGATAACAACTCTTCCAGATCCTAGTGTAGTAAAGGCAAGTAAAACGAAATTTTGAACTATAAAAAAACGAAATGAAATAGGATACTGTCAAAAGGATTTTTTTTTAGTAATTGTGGATAAAATTATTATAATGACAAATAGTTGTTTTGGTCTACAGATTGGAACCCACTGCCTTATTTCTACGGAGCATGGTATCAGATAAACCCCATTGTTTCAAATCAAACTCTTGTAAAGAAATGTTATTATTCTTAGGTTCGCTTTCCATGAACACGTTTAACGGAAAAACGTACTGAAACGTTTGGGGATCGGACGTAATAGACGCCGTAAGTGGAGATTTCTCTTTACAGCATGAAGCCTGTCATGTTCCATTGCCGCCTTTTTATAATCACATCATGTCCAAAAAATCTGCCATTTGCTTGCAGAAACAAAAGCGGTTAATTGACCTAGTGGAACAAAGACCACAAAAATAAATTTGTGGTTCAAAATACAGTTTGTAGCCATTGCCAGAAATAATGATCCAGTTGAGCACGCATGCGCCGGCTTCACGCGAAAAAAAATGCAGAGGAAAAGCTGCGAAAAAGTCGCTTAAGTGAAAACAGTCCCATTACATTTGTATTAGCCTGACTTTTTGTTGGCAGAAATGCATACCTGGAAAGCTGACCGTACTATTAAATTAATAATTATTTATTTTACAGGTGTTGAGAAGGTTCCAGTCATGACATCACTTCAAAGTTCCTCAGAAATCTCAAATTTATTTACTAGTCTTCATGAAGAGACATCACGTTTTAATATTCGTAAAAATCACCGTTTTCTTGACGAAGGATTGGATGAAGATGCATTTAAAGTTGTTTTGGATAATTTACAAACTTTAGGGTCCTGTTACCACAATAATTGAAGCCATTTTTATATAAATTATATATATAAGTTTGTATGGTGTTCTTTTTTTTTTCTCCAAAGGAGCCATGATTGATCACATTCTGCATACAGAGATCCATGTACTTCATACTTCGAGAATAGATCTCTGTCCTAAATGGCTGCCATATCCAAAAGTTAGTATACTATTTTGTAATGCGGTTGTACTGTGTTTCACATCTGGGCTCGATTTCTCGAAATAACTAAAGATAAAATCCAAATTTTAGTAGATACTTCAATTTTGATTGGCTAAGCACTAAAATCAATCTAATATCATCCAATCAAATTACTAAAATTTGGATTTTATCTTAGTTAAAATTAGTTAAAATTTTGTGAAACAGGCTCCTGGTGTGCACACGAAGACTAAATAATCCTATTCAATTCCATTAAATGGAAGCAGAAAAAATACTTAAAATGTCGGTCAACTAGCTTAGTGTCTGTTCTCAAGCAAAGCTAACTGTAGACAGACAGCCTAAGTTTAGTATGGGTTGATCGGTAATTAAGGTAGCGTTGACTCACTACCTAGACTGCTAGGTTGATCCTAGTGTTCGCCGAGAAAGTTCTTCAGGATTTTGCAGGCTGGTGTCCTCCTGTTTATTGCTGCAGGGAAGGTTGGGGGTCAAAGGGTTAACACACGTGCGTTGGATATGGCTGAATGGTTAGCACGTGCGCACTATATCATAAGGTCTGTCATTGAGTCAATTGGTGTGGTTTTGATTCCTCACTTGTACATGACAAGGAGTAGGGTCGCCTGTCAAACCTCGTGAGTATTCTCCGGGTCCACCGGTTTACTCCCATTCCAAGAGACCCATACATGTAAGCGAATTATTGAAATCAAATTGAACCATGTTAGTCCCAAAATGACCTAGTTTATCTCTCCCTGTTATTGGTGCAGGAGAGAGATCTTGGCAAGGAAAGGGGTCTAGTCATTTGGATAAGATAAAAAATCAAGGTCTTGTCTACAAACAAATATTATGACTCTGGGTCACAATCTTTTAATGTAATCTAGTGCTGGAATTCTAACATGTTTGATTTTATTTCAATAATTCACTTGTTCAAAGGGGTCGTAGCATTCGGAGCAAACCCACAAGGTTTGACGGACGATCCTAGTTCTTGTCACAGGGAATCAAAACTACGCCACTTGACTCGATGACAGACCTTGTGATACAACGCGCACGCATTAACTCATTCATTTTCGAACCCAAACTCCCTCCTTGCCGAGTTACATGGGCCTGGAGGGTCCTATTGCGGGCCCTGTTTATATCCCATTAGAACAAATAATCCTACAACCCAGTTAATCTAACGGGGATCACCCCTGACAACTAAATATTATATTAGCGAATCCAGTCTTCTAGCCTGTTGAATTCCTGCGATTAAAATGATGTACCTCTTTTAACTTCTCATAGCCCAGTCTTCATTATCCCACTTTATGCAGAAAAGAAATGAAATTTAACGTCGTACTGTTTTGCTCCGAACTGGTCTAATGAAGACCGGCATACACCACACCAGTATGCTATGAGGGAAATTTTGCCTGGACAGCGGCACTACGGCCTATTCTTATATAGACTTCCAACTGTCAAGGGATCTTTTATGTGCACGCCAATGTGTACACAGGACCTCGGTTTTTTGTCTCATCCGAACGACTAGACAGCTGTCGTTGTCAGGCCCTCTGTCCTGCATCACTAACAAGGGGAAACCACGCCGGAATATGCCGAAAAGAAGGTCGTTAAACTGCTATTTTGTTTCATTTCATGGAAAGAACCCTTAACAGTTAGAAATCAAAAGGGTGGGCAGAATGCTGCTGCATGGACCAAATTCTATAGCATAAACAGAACACAGGAGACAATAAAAACAAATGGCCGTCTAGTTTATACATATTTAATATTGACATATATATGTTAATATTTACATACATTACACACCCACGCATCTTATATCAAGAATAATGGTGAAACATACATTCTGTAACAAGCTAACAAAAAAAATTATAATAATAATATTAATAAAATACACAGCATCCAATCTGTCAATCCTCAATATTTATACTTCATGGAATACTAACATACTGTACGATTGATTGAAACTGACAGATCGATCCTCAATATTTATACTTCATGGAATAGTAACTAACATACTGTACGATTGATTGAAACTGACAGATCGATCCTCAATATTTATACTTCATGGAATACTAACTAACATAACATAATGTACGAATGATTGAAAATTGACACGTGTCAGGCAGTTTGTATGATTTCTCTTTTAAGTAAATACTCCAGTTAAAAACAAAAACAGAAAATTTTATAATAGTGCAGAAAAAATGTGTTAGAAATATTTACTTTGAAATACAACACTGAATAGTTAAGTATGTCTAAGAAGATGTGTAAACAGTCACTAATAAAAGTTATAGTCAATTTCAACTTGGTTGAATCAGAAAAAAACTGTGTTCAATGAAGTTCATATATACTACTGTAAGTGTAATACACTATTCAACCAAATTAATAAGTATCCATGTATGACAAAATTTCAGGATATTGCCTTTAAAACAACTCCACCGAACATGTATTTCAGTATAAATTAATCATGCAATTTGAATTTCTGATAGAACAGATGTCTTTAGTAACTGTCTGGTCAAAAGAATGTAGGCAAGTTTCCTGGGAATTAAAAGAAAGGGAGCAGATACCATCTGGTCAAATGTTGTGAATTTTTTCGAGTAATAAAATTTTGGTTTTGCCGATTCCGAGCAGAAAAATTGGACATTAAACCCCATTTCATTTCTAGTCTGTGCACTGACTTGATTGAATTCATTACTACCAATTTGAAAATATCGCCCACCATTTTAATATAGTCCGATAAAACATGTATTAACCTCATCACTAACTATTTCATAACCCGATCTCCTATTCTAATCTCTCGAAACCAAAATTAGAAAAATAAATGTCTAGATAATGGAATGATAACAGTATACATACGTACAATTAACTCTTCCTATCCTCATATATTCAAATACATATTTTAAAAGGGCAAAACCCCTTGATTATGGTTTAAAAAAAAAAGATCAATTTTCAATTTAATTTTGTCTTTAGTGTATTCGTTCGTACTGGTAGTAACAGGGATATCAATCGATTCAGCCAATGCCTCGATACAACCGATTATTTTTTCTCGCGACGATCTAATAATAAACACCGATTTCCGTTAAATTCAAGAAAACAGGAAATGGCTTTCTTCTCACCAGTCCAGAAGACAACTTGGATATTTAAGCAAATCTATCAGTTACGAATAATAATACATAATAAATTAAAGAGGTTTTGCTCTTTTACTCATTTAAGTTTCAAAGTCAATATTTTACAAATTTATTAAATGTCAACGAAAATAATTATACACAGAATAATTACAATTAAAATTTTATGTTATTAGATTCATCAATTCCAAATGAAAAAGCATCCCATATATTAATTCAAGCCATTTAAATTTTATGACAATTAAAGCTAACAAGGGTGTTAAGAAATGCACTAAGGTTTAAGCCTCTCCGTGCATATGAATATATTTACAGCGCATTACATGGATTTTGTCTGCCATTATAAATTACAAGCACTAATTTATACCCTTATTTAGCCATACATTCAATGAACAATCATACTAGAACTATAGGCTTTCATTGCGTAAATAAATGGTCAAATGTAACTGCTTAATTGCCCACATTAAGTTTCAACTCCGGTAGGATCCTAATGACTTGGCTAATAAAATCTCACAATTTAGAAATTAGATCATTTCAGGACTAACATACGGTTCAATTTTATTTCAATAATTCGCAGTGGGCGGAAACCGGAGGCCCCGGAGAAAGCCCAAAAAGATGGACAGGCGACCCTATTCCTTGTCATGTTCAAGCGGGTAATCGAAACCACGCCACTTGACTTAATGACAGATCTTATGATACAGCGTGCCAACCATTTGGCAATCCCACTAACATATGGTTTAATTTTATTTCAATAATTCGCTAACACGTAGGGGTCTTTAGCAGTGGGAGGAAAACAGAGGACCCGGAGAGAACCCACGAGGATGGACAGGCGACCCTACTCCTTGTCACGTACAAGCCGGCAATCAAAACCATGCCACTTGACTCAATGACAGACCTTATGATACAGCGCGCACACACTAACCATTCCGCCATCCAATTGAAACCACACCACTTGACTCAATGACAGACCTTATGATACATGGTGGAGATGTTAAACATAATCAGATCCATTATTACCTACATCCGCGATATAAATTAGGTACTAAACGGAGACCAAGACTGGTCATTAACGAAACATTATTTGAACTTTCATTATGGGCCTTTAATAATGTAATAATAAATATAATATACTCACTTAATAACAAAAATGGGTTGTCATTATTTCTAACACAATACACACCAAGACACAATGATAATACACCACTGATTTGATTGTATACTGGTGTTATGTGACAGTCTTGTCGAGATATTGACGTCCAGTGAAACCTGTCTGCTGGTATCGATCAGCCAGCGGTCAGAGTCATTATGGTAACGTAACAGCATTTAACCTTTCAGCAATGCCTCGAGTGCCAGAGGTAGGAACAAGTCGTGGGATATCAAGTCACAAGTCGCAGCACCTCGAGTATGAGAGGTTGGAACAAGTCGCGGGACCCGGAGTTGAGTCACAAGTCAGCGCACCTCGAGTCCCAAGTCGCCAAACCTCGAGACCAAGTCGAGTCCCAAATAACTGACTTTAGTACAGAGTCGAGTCCCAAGTCTTCAGAAAGCTGGAGTCATGTTCAAGTCGCCAGTTCATCAAATGAGTCAGCCATTCATGGTGAATAAGTTGAGTTAGAGTTATGCCATAACGACTCGAGACCTAAGCTCTTTCAAGTCGCAAGTCGTCACGACTGCCGATTCCGAGTCAACTATCAAGTAAATATTTCAAGTCAAGTCTTGAGCCAGGTCATTGATGCAACTTAAGTCGGACTTGTGTCCGAGTCGCTGTTCCTGCCTCTGTCTGGTACTCATGCGTCTTTCACAGAAATGCCGCATAAAATTCAATTTTTTTGTGTTTGAGAGAATTGATCTATGGTATATCATGTGTTATTGCCCTGACCTCAAGATCTCACATTAAAGTGTATCTCAAACCAAATTTACAATCATCCATTTATAAAAGTGATGTACTTTCATTGTGTCTCGGTATATTAATTAATAAAGTCAAGTCAATTAGTCTTTTTCTCAATGATTGTACAAGATTAAATTGTCTTATCAACCTGATTAAAAGACAAATCCTATTTCGTTTCGTTTTTTAAAGTTCAAAATTTCGTTTTACTTGTCTTTACTACACTTGGATCTGGAAGAGATGTTATCATTGACGTGTTCTGAATGGTGTGACGGATTTGCCAATGAAACGGTTTTGTTACGGCAAGCTTTAGGCATGTTTTGCAAGGAACTGTGTGTAATCCACTAGTAACATCAATGATGATTGGTTAATCAAATGTCTGACGTCATAGGGCAAAAGCTGCTCGTATGACCTCTGACGCGACTTATGGCTACATCTGGTCATATCTTCATATAGTGTAGGCCATTGAAAGTGTAAAAAAAAACGAAACGAAATATAGATCTGTATTTTAATCCGATTGATTGTCTTTATGTTAATATACGATGATGGAGATTTATAATTAGACAATATATATATATATTCTTATGAAACCACAATCAATACGGATATCCATATTTCTCTATATTTTATTTCAACATTTAGATGATAAAATATATAAAAGTTTAAACATCAAAATAAATGATTTTATTACTTCTCCGTCCAAAGAAATGTTACTAAAATATTTTTTTCAATATTGCCACTCTAAAAGCCTTTTAAATATTGTGAAGATCAACAGTATTAATTCCCTCTTTACACCTAATTTCTACACGCTAATAACACTTACAGCTAATCTATTCAAAATGGCATGGAATATTTATTGAGCGGAAACATGTATACTTAATTTAATGTATGTTGAAGATATAACTAACATATATACTGTAGTAGAAATAACAAAATATCACGATCCTTTCATATCTGCACGAATGTAGATAACGAAGAAACGTGAAAAAAAGGGGCTGTTGTTTTCTTTAAATCCGAGATGTTTCAAGATGTTGCGAAGTTCAGACCATATTAGATGATTTGCTTACAGATTCCTATATATTCCATCTATTCATAAGGCCTGCTCTGTTCTATGATCGTATAATAATTTGCATATCTTCCGCCTTTTTGAGACAGCAAATCATGAGGAAGATAAATACATGGTTTTTCATACATTTGTTCACACGACTTCAGGACCCCCATGGTGCTAAGCCCGATTTCACATGGTTGTTAAGGTTTCATAATGAAATTACAATAATAATAAAAAAAAACGTATTTAACAAATAAATAATCGGTGATATTTCCTCTCTCTAGCTTTTATCTTTTGGTGATTAATTCTAGTTTTAATAATCAAGTCTACTCTTCCCGTTAATTTATTGATACTCCATTAATAACGGTTTCCCCCCGAACCATACTGTTGTTGGACCATTCCTCGAGCAGCACCGGCCGCTACGTTAGCTGTGGCATTTTGAACTCCCTCGTTTCTCATCACCCCAGTCGCAAATTCTGCTTGCGCTTTCTGGAAACTTGCTCCTGTACTTCTGTAGATTCGATGAACCTAGGAATAACAAATATAAAATATTAGAGAATGTAATTTTCATTATTATGCCCTGTAACCAAGCATCGCTTATTAACACTTTGGTATTTGAACTTTGAACACCCTTTAAACCACTGCTTCCCGAAGTTCCTCAAACTGCCTGTATACTAGTTCTGCAACCTGAGCAGCCTGATACAGACTTGGGAGCAGTAGTTTCGAGTGGTTTTAAAAATGACCTACGAAACTCAATGTAAGACAAAACATCAATATTTTTTTATAAAATTTTTTTTTAAAATTCCCATCAATATTTCACAATATGTATTGTCACTCAAACTAATCCACCCAAAAATTATTTTACTATATATCAAACTACTTTACCTCCCAAAAATATTTTACTATATGTAATGTCCCAAGTTCACAAAATATTCTCAGGCTCGAGTTAAGATTTTACTCAAAAATGTTTGCCTTATTTTAACTAAAATAAAGCCCTTTATAAAACTTTGTATCAAAGATATTTCTCGTAAACAGTGACTGAAAGTTGAGTAAATTCTTAACTTAAATCTGAAAATGTTTTGTGAACTCGGAGCCTGGTGTTAATAGTGAAATAACTATTTTGTTAGTTTGGTTTTAAATAAGATAAATGAACCGTTAATATTACAATGCACATGCAATAATAAACCATACACCATTGTGGTTAAAATAATCCCTTTACCAACATGCAGATATACAATAAATATAGGTAAATAATAACATCTATTCTACTAATATATTTTACAAACAATATATATCTTTTAACCATGCTCTCACTAAGAGGTATTTTAAAGATACCTTCCTGCGTACAAACTGGGTGATTTATGATATATTTGGACTAAAAGCATATTCAAACTAATTAATTTATCATAATTTTGCTTCTCAAAACATTGTAATTGCCAAGGAATACCCTGCTATAAAAATCGATCAAAACAACATGAACTAACATTACATGCACGTTCTCACGTAGTTTTCAGAACAAATATCAAAATAAATTTTCAATGTAAACTGTGTCATAGTAGGTGTTACCCTAGGCAATGATTCAAATAAAATTACCTGTTTTCATTTTAACTAAAATTAAGTTAAATTTGGATTGCTACATAAATGGATTAAATTTGAATTTAAATGTTTACATGTACTCTCAATGTGCACGTAGGCAGTAGGAGTCATGAGGAGCTTGTTTTTGTTCTTACTATATCAGTCAAATGAAAGGATTGTCATATTGCGGTATATTCTATATCATTGTGGTCTGAAACCTTATATTCAAGTTGACACAAGTTGTCTCCCTTATGTTGTAGTTATTCTGCCTTTTTGAGTAATAAAGAGATTGGAATGGAGAATGGTTGATTTTCATTTTCACCAGATATTATTAAATCTTTCGTAATAATTATTTTAAGAGAGAGAGAGAGAGATGGGGTTTGATGTCCACTCGACACAAACTAGGTCATTTTGGGACTAACACATGGTTCAATTTTATTTCAATAATTCGCTTGCAGGTAAGGGTCTTTAGCAGTAGGGAGAAAACCCAAGAGGTTGGAATTATTTTAAGAAAGAATATGTTAAATTGTTAATAATACAACAATTTTACTTTGCTAGTATATAAAGTTAATAAGAAAGATGTTATTAGCTGTCTGTGCAGTCTATGGGCTTTATCAATTAAATATCTACTTTCAGTTTATTTGGTACAACCGGTCTGCATCCCAGTTACAACATTTGCGTATTCAAGGGAGATCATATAATGATGGCAGACTGTAAAAAAATCTTTGTGTATTTTATATGTGATCTACCCCACAACAGTTTGCTGGAGTCTATGATCGCCATGACCTCAACCACCAAACACATACCATTTGAGTTCTCCCCTTTATGAAATTGAATGAAATGAAATGGGGTTTAACGTCCTACTGCTATACTGGGCTAATGAAGACGGGCATACAGTGTGCGATGAGGGAAATTTTGCCCGGGTAGCGGCACTATCGCCTACTCTTATATCGAATTCCAACTGTCAAGGGATCTTTTACGTGCATTCCAATGTATACACAGGACCTCGGTTTTTCATATCATCCAAAGGACTAGACAGCTGTTCTTGTCAGGCCCTCCGTTCTGCACCACTGACAAGGGGAAACCACGTCGGAAAATCTGGATGAACTTTCGTAGCCAATACAGGGATCGAACACCAGACCTCCAGGCTAGCGAGCCAGCGTCTTAACCACCTAGCCACCGTGGCTCACCTCCCCTTTAGGAGGATACACTATTGCTTACAAAATGTGTAAAAAATCTCATTCTGAACAGTCCTGCTCAGAGAGAGAGAGAGAGAGAGAGAGAGAGAGAGGGGGTTTAACCTCCACTCACAAACTAGGTAATTTCAGGACTAACATATGGTTCAATTTTATTTTAATAATTCGCTTGCGTGTAGGGGTCTTTGGTCTTTAGCAGTGGGAGGAACCGGAAAAACACGGAGAAAACCCACAAGGTTGGACAGATGACCCTACTTCTTGTCACGTTCAACCGTGGATTCAAAACCCACGCCAGTTGACTCAATGACAGACCGTATGATACAGCGCACGCGTGCTAAGGAAAAACATGGAGAAAACCCACAAGGTTGGACAGACGACCCTACTTCTTGTCACGTTCAACCGGGGAATCGAAACCACACCAGTTGACATAATGACAGACCTGATGATCTACATGTAAGCAAACGCATTAGGCCATTGAGTCCCTCCCACCACCCCGCCCCATAGAAATAAGAATCAGCTTGTTTTAGTGACCACAGCCTATAGCGTTAGTATTTATAGCTACAAGGAGTAACATCTTGACTGAAGCTATAGACATTTTACCTTAATCAGCAAAATAATAGTAGCTGCGGCCTCTAACGAAAACAACAGAGCGACAAACAACATTACAACTCCGGCCCCAACATGTTGACCAACGATGCCTAATCCATTAATCCACCCTCTAAAAACAAAAAAATATCACATAAAAAATCCTAACTGTCGGATTGACAAAACTGAACGTCAACAGAGATTATTGACATGCAACCATCATGCACCACACAACAGTGTTAAAAAAAAAAGAAAAAAAAGGTAGAAATAATTGATATACACTGTATAGGTATTGGGATTACTCATTTCTCCGAACAACTGAATTTCAAACGAAAAATGATTTCAATTTTCTGTATTTCAAATGAAAAATTTCAATTTCTGTATTTCAAATGAAAAATGATTTTAATTTTCTGAATTTCAATCAAAAAATGATTTTAATTTTCTAAATACCAATGAAAAATTGATTTCAATTTACTAAAATGTATTCAATTCTCATTTTATTGTGAGCGCACAAATTTAGATTTTTTTTTTCTTACCGGTATATCATCCCAAAATGTAAATTTATGCACAAATATACTGGGACCAAAAAAGTGATCAAAATTTTGAATCGTCTTCAAATATAGCCAACTTAAATTCCATAATCAGATTTCATTACTTTACAGTTTTTTGGAGAAAGAGTAACCTTTAGCAAGCATATGTTTTGGTAAAGCAAGTGTTAAAATTCATGATTTTACAATGTTGGACATTTTTTTTTTTAAAGTACTTTTTTTAATGGAGGCTTGTTTGAATTTGAAGCACCTTTCCTTAGAGAAAGAGAGGGAGAGAAATGGGGTTTAACGTCCACTCGAAACAAACTAGGTCATTTCGGGACTAACATATGGTTTAATTTTATTTCCATAATTTGCTTGCGCCTAGGGGTCTTTAGCAGTGGGAGGAAACCGGAGGACCTGGAGAAAACCCACAAGGATGGACAGGCGACCCTACTCCTTGTCACGTACAACCGGGGAATCAAAACCACGCCAGTTGACTCAATGACAGACCTAATGATACAACGTGCATGTTAACCATTCGGCCATCCACCCTTACCCCTACATAGACGCCCTTTAAATGCTAGTTTCAAGAACAAGACTGATCGACCGAAAATGTTTTCATATACATATACATTTGCTTTACCAAAAACAAATACTTAATTTCTTTGCAAACATTAAAGGAAATTGACTCGAGTTATTTTGAGACGCAACACAGACATTTTCATTCCTACAAAGCAATTATAAAGACGACCCATCATAATCGTACCGTGCAGCAATAGCTAATAATGGAAGCCATATTTCAATCATGCAGTGAATCAAATTCATTAATGTTTGCAAAGAAATCAATTTGATTAAAACACAGATCCTATTTCCTTTCGTTTTATTAGTTCAAAATTTCGTTTTTACTTGTTACTAAACTAGTTGTTATCATTGACGTGTTCTGAATGGTGTGAGGTATTAGCCAATGAAACCGTCTGTTACGGCGAGCTTGAGGTGTGTTTTGCACGGAACTGTGGATAATCCACTAGTAACATCAATGCTGATAGGAAAATAAAATGTCTGATGTCATAGGGTCAAAAGCCGCTTGTATGACCTCTGACGCGACCTATCACTACAACCGGTCAGATCTTCACGTAGTGTAGAACATCAAAAGTATAAAAAAACGAAACGAAATATAGATCTGTATTTTAATCAGATTGCAAAGAAATATTATTATCTAGTATTACAAGCAGAGAAACTGACACCACGGGTTAGTATCTAATCATGCATCACCAATACAAGGTCACATGACACCAATCTAGCAACCACTTGCTAATCGTGTGCGTGTGTGCTTTGTCACATTTGTACCTTCACTAATGTGGCAAAGCTTATGACAGCCAGAATGCCGAAGAAAAGACCCACGAATATCATAATAAGTCCTGCTGCAACATTTGATTTAGTTACGCCAAGTCCACTAATTATTCCACTGAAAAGGTCATAGAAATTGTTTTAAATTAATTAAAGTGAAGTTATTTAGTAGCGTAATTAGAACAAAGTGGAATATATAACGATAAATTTCTTGTGGTATTAAAGAAACAAAACCATTTTGATTTAGATAAAAATGAAATGATTTAAAGTCCCACATTTCTGAAAACTGAAATGAAATGGGGTTTAACGTCCTACTGTTCCGCTCCGAACTGGGCTAATGAAGACGGGCATATGCCATACAGTGTGCTATGAGGGAGATTTTGCCCGGGCAGCGGCACTACAGCCTACTCTTATATTGAATTACAACTACCAAGGGATCTTTTATGTGCACACCAATCTATAAACAGGACCTTGGTTTTTTGTCCCATCCGAATGACTAGACAGCTGTTCCTCCTTCCTGCACCACTGACAAGGGGAAACCATGTCAGAAAATGAACTTTGTCGGCCAATGCACCTACTTTTCTGCACCGACTTGGTTAATAAAGATGGGTGAATACCGTGCAGGTGTGATTGCGGGAAATTTTAAACAGAAAGCTATGATTCCGTCTACACTTCAGCAAATTCCAATGGTTCGTTTACATTTATGCAAATGAGTTCGTCTAGACACTTTTCCGTCCTTCACCTCTGATATAGGAAAGCCAGGCTAGAAAAACCCCAAGGAACAGAAACTCACTTTGTAAAACAAATTGACATTTATCTAAATCAAGACTTTTTACCCAAATCAAAAAGGTCTAGTTATTTAAAGGCCCCAGTCACGGATCTATTCAGTTTGTTCAGTAAAATATATTCGAGACGGGCACTTTAAACAATGTAAAGACTGTATTATAATTAAGCATCAAATGTTTGTATAAGCTTATATATTTATTACAGATAGAATTTGTTGGCTTCTAAATTAATAACATTTGTCAAATAGAATTTTCAGTATTTTTCACAATATCAACATCAATATTTGTTAACTAATGGTTTAGAGACTTTCTCGACTTTTCACAATATCAACATTAATATTTGTTAACTAATTATAGGCTTGCCATGTGAATAAATGTTTAAATTATAATTAAGATAAAGAGCTGGCTGTTCTTGCTATAACAGTCTCGAGAGCTAATTATAGGCTTGTCATGTGAATAAGTACCTAATCAATAAATTATATAACATTTGAAGCCAGAAAGAAAGACTTGCAATAGGCAGATTTAGCTCTTACATAATGTAGGTTTAATGATGGAAATGTCGAATTTCATGTAAATTCCTATATTAAAGAGAGTATTTATTGTCTACTGAATTAAATATTAAAAAATAGTCGTACTTACACTGTGAAATTAGTTATTCCCAGGCATTGGATAATATACACACAAAATTGGAAAAAAAATATAAAAAAGAACACAAAGAAGTTGAACGAGCTGTCACTCCTGAAAAAAACAAAAAAAAACAGAAAATAATAAATATATTAATAATTTATTGAAAGATATTTTGTATTTTATATTAATAATACTGAGATATGTGTTGTTATAAATTAATAAATTTATAACAATTAAAATGAAATGAAATGGGGTTTAACGTCCTACTGTTCTGATGGCCAACTGTTCTGCCCAGAACTGGGCTTATAAGACGGGCATACGCCATACAGAGTGCTATGAGGGAAATTTTGTCCGGACAGCGGCACTACAACCTACTCTCAAATCGAATTCCAACTGTCAAGGGATCTTTTACGTGCATGCCAATGTGTACACCGGAACTCGGTTTTTCGTCCGAACGACTACACAGCTGTTCTTGTCTGGCCCTCCGTCCTGCATCACTGACAAGGGAGAACCACGCCGGAAAATCTGGGTAAACTTTCTCGGCCAATGCAGAGATCGAACACCCGACCTCCTCCACTTACCCACTTAGCTACCGTGACCCCTTAAATTTATTACATATCTTATCAATATCAACAGTGAATCTGGCGCTGACCGATTCATACAAAACTAATGGGCTGTCTGTCTACAGTAACAGACACTAAGCTAGATGACCAACATTTTTAATTCCCCAAATCGACGATTTGAGTCAAAAACACAAAATATACTTCAAACGTTTTGTTGATTTATTTTGGTTCCTTTTAATAAAATTGAAAAAGTTTATTTAGTCTTCGTGTGTATAACAAATGTGAAACAGAAAAGAACCGCATTACAAAACATTACACTAATTTTTGGATATGGCGGCCATTTAGGGTAGAGATCTATTTTCGAGATAGAAAACTGGGGTTTAACGTTCACTCGACACAAACTAGGTCAGTTCGGGACTAACACATGGTTCAATTTTATTTCAAAAATTTGCTTGCTTGCAGGGGTCTTTAGCAGCTCGAGGAAACCGGAGGTCCCAGAGAAAACCCATGAGGTTGTCACGTACCACAGGGGAATTGAAACCACACCAGTTGACTCAATGACAGAACGTCTGATCGAAAGTGCACACGCTAACAATTCGGCCATCCACCCTACCTGTTATAATGAAATGTTTACCTGAATGCTTTATACAAGGGTCTATACCAACAAACAAATGAGCAGGGTATAAAGAGAATAAACCATAGTATCGATAATCCAAATGTTGTCCCTCCGGAACCATCAACAATAAAAAACGCCAGGGCAGCAAGAACATTTAAAAACAGTACAACAGCATGAACTGAAAATATACAACAGAATCAAATATTTGACTTTCCAAGGCCCAAAACTATATTTAAAGATTTTTCAAGGACTTTTGAGGCATCATAGAACTTTCAAAGACCAAAATATACATTCAAGGGGAGTTTAGCTACTTACTCGCTTCCAAAAATTTATCATACTGCTTGCAGTGTTTTGTTGGAGAAAACTCCACTAATAACTCCACTAATGTGTAGTCTACGGGTTAATCCAATAGCTCATGTCACATGGGTTTTTCCTACTGTCCCCAGGGCGTCAAACGTGTGGCCCGCCCGCCAAAGGTTTAAATGTGGTTCGTGGAACAAATTTCAACAAACTGACACATCGATAATTTTTAGAAACTAGCGGTGAAGATCATTTATTGTTTTCCAGTTTCAGTAAAACTCTGACTTCTGTAATGCATGTCATAGATATCTAGAGAGAGAGAGAGAGAGAAATGGGGTTTAACATCCACTCGACACAAACTAGGTCATTCGGGACTAACATATGTTTTTTTTAATTCAATAATTCGCTTGCGCGTAGGGGTCTTCAGCAGTGGGAGGAAACCGGAGGACCCGGAGAAAACCCAGGAGGTTGGACAGACGACCCTACTCCTTGTCACGTACAACCGGGGAATCGAAACCCCGCCAGTTGACTCAATGACAGACCGTATGATACAGCGCGCGCGTGCTAACCATTCGGCCATCCAACCCCCCCTCATAGATATTATTATTATTATTATTGTTCAATTTATATAGCGCTTCATTACACGTGAAGTGTTTCTAAGCGCATCTAATATGTATTGCATTATAAGTAAATTTAATGATTTTAGTCATATTAATCAATCAAATTTTCTTTAGCTTGATATTTTTGTATATCTCGGGCCCATGTAGATCCTGAATCGGAATGAGTTTGACAATCCTGGTTTAGACAAAAATAGGGGATATATTTCGACGTAGCTGTCACCTAAACTCTGCCTATATATTGGTCAGTTTTAATCATGTTTTAATAATATGATTAACCAATCGTAATTTCGTAAGCCCAGCAATTTTTAACGTCTGTACATTTTCTTCTTACCAGTAACTGGTTTCACTGTTTCAGAATTTAGTCATCATGTATCCTTTTTTCCTCTATAAATATCAGTGCAAAAGGAAGAATAGAATAAAGAGAGAGAGAGAGAGAGAGAGAGAGAGAGAGAGAGATAAATGGGGTTTTACATCCGCTCAACACAAACTAGATTATTTCATGACTAACAATTTTATTTCAATAATTCGCTTGCACGTAGGGGTGAATAAAATAAAAGTAGAGATAATAAAACTTACACATCCATAAATAGTAGACAAATTTAACAACACGTTGGAAATCTAACGGAATATCTACACTAAAATCTTGATAAAAACATGGCCCCATGGGAAACCATTTAGGTACAGGAGGCCAGTTGTTTTCTCTACCTACAAAAAATAAACACAAATCATTGTTTAATACATGTTCATAAATATTTAACAAAATACGACTTACATAGAAACGAAATGGGGTTTAACATCCTAACGAAGATGGGCATACGCCATACAGTGTGGTATGAGGAAAATTTTGCCCAGACAGAGAAGCTATGGCCAACTCTTATGTCAAATTTCAACTGCCAAGGGATCTTTTATGTACACGGGACCTCAAATTTTCGTCACATCCAGGGGACAATACGTTGCCGCTTGCCAGGCCCTCAGTCCAGCACCACTGACATGGATTCCCAGGCCCTCAGTCCTGCACCACTGACATGGGGAATCCACACAGGAAAATCATTGTGAACTTTCTCGGCCAACACCGGAAGCCAACACTTGACCTCCAGGCTACATGTAGCTAGCCAATAACTTACTCACTAACGACTAGATAGCTGTTCTAATCGGGCCCTCCATCCTCCACCACTGACAAAGGGAAATCACTGTTGAAAATCCCAATGAACTTTCTTGACCAACATCCGGAGCGAACCAGTGACATTCAGGCCAGCGAGCCAGCGTCTTACCCAGATAGCCACCGTGGCTATGAACTGAAGTAAATTATCATAAACTTACTTTGTCCTTGCATATTCTTCATTTCTTGTTCTTTTCTTTGTAGTTCTGCAGCTTTCTTTTCAAGTTCCTGAAATTTAATACGGTACATTAACCAAGTTGTTTTTTTTATTCTACATTATTTCCACACTTACATGTACAACTTCCAACCACATGTACGTATGTAAACATCCTTCAAACTTTCTGTGACTACGATATCAAAGGAGCTAAGTCGCTAATATTTGGGACCTAGAAATTGACACAAATAGGTCGTAACGCATATAATAATGTTATATGAATGTATATAAATTGATTTACATTCAATCGTTTCTGTTTTTACTCTAATTTCTAATCAGTTAGGTTCGGCGAAATACGCCAGTATTCTCAATCGAATTTCAATCTCTAGCATCTGGTTATTCCAGTCTACGCCAATAGTATTTATTGGGCATTCTCTCCAGATAAGAATATAGCGTCACCATTTGACATGACTTGTGGAATATGCAAAGCCTCATTTTTTCAAGTCCCTTATTACAAATAGCACTGAAACCATTTGTCTTTAAAATTGGATATCAGAAGGTCATCTTTTCCGGGTAAGATCAAAAGATCAATGTTGATTTAAACCGACAAATAAATCGTGTTTTCAATGTCGAAAATTTTGGATGATATTGAGTTAGAGACTTAGCTACTTTAAATCACTACAGTGTAGTTAGTCAGAGGAAAGACATAGTCTTTGGCCTTTTGACTCAGGGGACACATGACCTAAATTTTACATCAAGTGGGCCAGAGATATACAAAAATTTAAATAAAAAAAAAGCCAAATTTCCTAGAACTGTACTGAATTCTAAAAATAAAGCCAAACGTCCTGGACACAGGTAATTTTTTAGACTGGTTTCTAAATTGCTAAGATATAATATTGAACCCTGGGTTCTCTTGTATATATACAACTTAGATATCTATGACATACAGTACATAAGTCACAGTTTTACTGAAACCGAAAAAAAAAACAAACGATTTTCCCTGCTAGTTTCTAAGAATTATCGACACGTCAGTTTGTTGAAATTTGTTCCACGGGCCACATTTAAAGCTTTGGCGTGTCGCACGTTTGACGTCCCGGGACAGTAGGAAAACCCATGTGACATGAGATATTGGATTGACCAGTAGACTACACATTAGTGGAGTTTTCTCCAACAAAACACTGCAAGCAGTATGATAAACTTTTGGAAGCGAGTAAGTAGCTAAACCCTTGAATGTATATTTTGGTCTTTGAAAGTTCCATAATGCCTCAAAAGTCCTTGAAAAATCTTTAAATATAGTTTTGGACCTTAGAAAGTCTAATATTTGATGGTTGGTCGGACCTGGCCCGTAGGCCGCATTTTTGACACCTCGGTCTAGAGCATGACTAATTATATTTCGAACAGCATGGAATGAAAAAAGACAACGAATACACCAAAACATCAAACAATAACTCTCAGATGTTTTCGATAAATATTTTCCAGTTTTCAATCTCACTGTATAATAGTATCTTATTTTGTACTATCTTTGGTTTGTTCTGTCTGTGTTTTGCTCTGCAGTTATTGTATACAAGATGACCGGATCATGAGTTTAAAACATGGGTTCCATGTCAGCCGTATATGCCGGTCAAGACCGAGGACTATGGAAAAATGACTGAAACTTGATCAGACCCGTCAGTCATTTTGCCCGTCGGAAAAATAGCATTGTGCAGAATTATTACAATCCTGTAAATGTAAATAATAGTGTTGAAAATCGGATCGAGATTTGTGATCCGAATACTTTTGTTGGCTATCCGAATACTATTCGGATAATTCGGAGACGTGAAATTCTTGAACAAAATTACATCAAAAGTTCATATACTGGTAGGCCTACTCATAATTTCTTACTTGTTTCAATGTTTATGAGTGTCTATGTATGCCGAGTATGAAATCGTACTTTCGATTTGCAAATTGTTTGAGCCGCGAAGAAACAACGTGCCTACCTCTAGCCGTAATTATTAAGACTATCTATGACATTGGTCTGACATCCCAAAAAAACAATGAGGTGAAGGAATTTGTATAGTGTAACTACTCCTGTTATCCGCACCCTCCCACTTATCATTTTGCTCAATCAACACAAATGAAAAAAGTAAAATAAAACCATGTGCCATTTATTCCGGCAAGGTCGTTTGCCTCAATCTGATAATCTACTACTATTGAACCAATCAGTGAGTGGGAATATACGTGACCTAGGTCGTTATGAATAAATTTCATTGTTGGAAGTCAAAACACGGTCTAAACTCGTATGCCGTAAACTAGCGCAGGGAATGAATGAATATTTTTTTTATTTAGACTACTGTTTTCGTTGCACTGCATTAATAATTTTATTAGTTACTATCACTAAATAATACGCATAATGTTGACATTTATGCTCAGAGCTGCGTACATGATCAATTGCATTGGGGAAAATTTCAAAGTAATCAGACGTAAAAATGGCTAAATATAGAGCATACGGAATGTCAGAATATATTGTAACGAATAGTAAACGGACAGTAAAATGATTCGGATAACCCTTATTTTGTATCCGTTAACGAATATCCGAATAGTAGTTTCAACACTAGTAAATAATGATTCTATACCTCCTGTCGTCTTTGAAGTTCACTTGTATCAATTTTTTGTGCCGATGATTGAGTATAAGGTGGTGGTGGGTCTTCAGATGGGGTCATGATAGCAGGTTGAGATACTGGTTGTGCTGCCCGTGGTGGTGGAATACCAGACTATAAATATAAATTATACATTATATCCCTATATCAACAGGATACCAGACTAAAAATATAAATTATACAATTCATTATATATATCAACAGAATGGTAATTAAACATGCATTATACAAGAGCTAAATATGCCTATTCATTATATATCCCTATATGGAGAGAGAGAGAGAGAGAGAGAGAGAGAGATGGGGTTTAACGTCCACTCGACACAAACTAGATCATTTCGGGTCCATCATATTGATCAATTATATTTCAATAATTCGATTGTGCGTAGGGGTCTTCAGCAGTGGGGGGAAACCGGATGACCCGGAGAAAACCCACGAGGTTGGACAGGCCACCCTACTCCTTGTCACGTACAAACGCTAACCAATCGGCCATACAACCCCCACCCCCCATCTCTATATGGACCTAATGGTAATTAATGGTTAAAAAACATAATTTAACGATTGTCTGGTGTCATAAATTCTGCTTGACTGAAGTCTTGCAATAGGTTTTAATGTCTTGATGCTTGTACTTCGTTCCATTTGAGACTATTTTCTATTTCAGTGGCTATATATGTGAAACGCATGAGATAGAATTTTTACTGTTCAACATGGACCACTCTATATTCCATTGACATTTTACATCTATTTTTCTTGCATAAAAATACATGTAGGACATTAAACCCATTTAAAATACAGATGTGACGTCACCCTTTGATGTTGGCGTACCATTATTTCAAATAATCATACGGGCAACTTGCCAATCGTACCTTGTCAAATATTAGACTCGAGTGACGTATTTCACTGTAAACGCACGTGCGGAGTGTCTGTATTTTAAGATGTTTAATGGTCTCGAGCTGAGACATTGCGTAATATATAGTAAAAACACTCGGACCTGACGGTCCTCTTGTTGTTACAATATATTACTTAATGTCTCGCTCTCAACCATTAAACAATACGTAATGTCATTTTATTTTTAACTCCAAATCTGACTGACACTATTAAAACGAAATGACATACATGTAACTCAAAAAACATATATTAATAGTGAACATAAAATACGTATATTATGTTAATTTAATATCAGTATAATATCTACTATATTGCTCTATGATAAGGCTCATTACTGAATACAAAATCATTAGATTTTCTCTTAACCATATTTTCAAGTACATATCAGATTATAATCAAACTTTGATTTTGAATCTGCTTTTAGACTTGATAATTTAACTGACTAAATAATGGGTCATAAAATTGATGATTTGATTCCAGTGTTGAGATAATAACTAATTTTGTATTCAACTGTGTACAAAGTAAGCCAAAAATAAAAGAGAGAGAGAGAGAGAGAGAGAGAGAGAGAGTGGGGTCTTTAGTAGTGGGAGGAAACCACAGGACCCCAGGAAAACACACAAAGTTGAACAGGCAACCCTATAAGAGAGAGAGAAAGAGAGGGGGGGGGGGTCTTTATTAGTAGGAGGAAACCAGAGGACCCCAAGAAAACCCACAAGGTTGAACAGGCAACCCTATAAGAGAGAGAGAGAGAGAGAGGGGGGTCTTTAGTAGTGGGAGGAAACCACAGGACCCCAAGAAAACCCACAAGGTTGAACAGGCAACCCTATAAGAGAGAGAGAGAGAGAGGGGGGTCTTTAGTAGTGGGAGGAAACCAGAGGACCCCAGGAAAACACACAAGGTTGAACAGGCAACCCTATAAGAGAGAGAGAGAGAGAGTGGGGTCTTTAGTAGTGGGAGGAAACCAGAGGACCCCAAGAAAACCCACGAGGTTGAACAGGCAACCCTACTCCTTGTCACGTACAAACAGTGAATCAAAACCAGGGGAATCGAAACCACAGCAGTTGACTTAATGGCAGACCGTATGAGCCAACGCACATGCGGTAACCGTTCGTCCATTGACCCCCGACCCCACGGGTTTTAAATATAAGCTTGATCTACAAATTAGATATTTACCCCACCAGCAGGTCTGGTTTGATTGCCCTGGTCAAATGGATTGTAGTCATCCAGAGCTCCAGATTTTTGCGCACCAGTTCCAGGCCCAGTGGCTTGTTGCACAGACGGATCCTGAAAAACAGCAGAAATGATTAATGTTATAATTGTACGTTACATCTACGAAGGTATCAGAATCTGAATCCATGATAGAATGATATAACTTTCAATTATATTTGTAAGAGATGCTTATAATTATCCCCATCATTAACTTTTAGAGCATTCTGGCGACGGTAATATGATACAAATTGCGAACTGTTTTCTCGCTCAAGAATCGGCACTATTATCGACCAGTGGTGATAATATAATTTGAAATAATGATATCCGATAGGCATGCTTGTATATTTTACATGACATATATGAAGCCAATGTAAATGGAATTCAGCTATCAAAAATATTTAATTCTCTTCGAAAGGAACTGTCAGCCATTTTGATTTCGTGTATTAGTTTTATCATTTTTTTTAATACGAAACGAAACATCAAATAATCACCGATTGGATTAATCATTGGTAGTAAATAATGGGTAATCCAGGATAAATACGATCAGAATTTGAAGATTTTTGTCCGCCAGTTCTCAAAAAGAATCGCCACTACCGCAAAACATTTTCACCAAAATCAAATTTTAATTGTCACTTTCATATTTTTATCTCAAATTACAACTTTGGTGACCGATAGTGTGAGCCCTGACCCTGAGTACATGTCTGTAGTAATTATCATATATTGAGTTTGTGCAGCCCCACAGTTTCACACCATTTCAAAGTACAATCCTTAAATTGTATTTACATGTATCGATTAAGCACAATAAACACAAAGATAGGTTGCCAGGCAACAAAACATACGACCACAGCAGCTAAATTGTCCGATCGGTCGACAAGGGTTGTCGAATATTTATTCTTTTGTAGGTAATTAGGGACATTTAATAGACAATTTCATACAGATGACATTATAATTGTCGTCGTTTGAGGGTTCACAAGGTTCTAATTCTAAAACAAGGGCCGTAACTACAGAAAATATTGAAATTCGACAGGCTTTTTTGTTTTACTAATTCAAATAATGCATATAAATTTCATACAGATTAAATGATAACTTTTGTCATTCGAACATTCACAAGTTTCAACAAAGTAAAACAAGGGCCATAACTCTCGAAGTAATTGAAGGAAATTGTTGACATTCAATAGGCTTCTTCATTTCACTAATTTAAATGATGCATATGAATTTCATACAGATTGGGTGATAACTTTTGTCATTCAAGCATTCACAACATTCAACAAAGTGAAACAAGGGCCATACATTGTAACTCTAGATGTAATAGCGGAAATTTGCCGAAACTCAATAGGCTTGTTTGTTTTACTAATTTAAACGATACATACAAATTTCATACAGATCGGATAATAACTTTTGTCGTTAGAGCATTCACAGGGTACAACAAAGTGAAACGGAAATTGCTGAAATTCAATAGGCTTCTTCGTTTCACTAATCTAAATGATGCATATCAATTTCAAACAGATCGGATGATAACTGTTGTCATCACTGACAAGGGGGAACCACAGCAGAAAATCTGAATGCACTTTCTTGGCTAATGCAGGGATCGAACACCTGACCTCCAGGCTAGTGACCCAGCGTCTTACCCGCTTAGCTACCGTGAATAAATATTACATACTATATAAGTATTTGAATAAATATCACACACTATATAAGTATTTGAATAAATATCACACACTATATAAGTATTTGAACACCATCCAAATTATTATTGATTATTTTAAATTATTACATACATGTACGTACAGACGCTGAGTACTGCAATCTGTGACTACATAATTATACAGGTTTTGTATGTCGCTTAGTCGTCCAAGTCTACATTAATCAGAATTGTTTCGATAGACAGTAGTCGATATTCACCAGAGATCAAATACATGGCTTTTACATAAGTCTGTTGTGGTGTCAAGTTGCTTTCTAAATTCTAATTTTCTGTCAGGACATGATGTTTTTAATAGAAGCTAGCTATGGTATAGGAATATAGAATATCTGGTTCTTTGCCAAACTCAAACCTCCGCAATTATTCAGCTTTGCACATTATGTAATACAAATCATCGGACTGTGAGTGTGAGAGAGTTTAAAATCTAAAAGTACCAAATTTGTGACGACACTGAATATGGATCAATTGTATGTACTAGTCGCAATGTGTGAGGAAACCCAAAAAGAAAAAGTTCAAGAAAAAAAAGGTATTTTGTCATATTATAATCAAGGGCATTATTGGTGTATTGAAATTCACAGACATGAAAGTAGAACACCTGGAAATACATGTAAGGAACGAATGAAATAAGCCAAAAATTACGGTTTGTGAGACACAATGCTCCTTGTAACTGTCAATATGTCTGACACAGAGATACGTTTATTGATATTTACTAGTCTAGCACAAAGCTGAAAATGTCAGGTACTAGATCATTAGCGCCTCGTAGATCAAAAATCATTATATCTAGACCTGATTAACACGTGTACCGGTAGTTGATTGATTCCGTGAACAAATTATAAAATATGTCATGCATTAAACTGATAAGTGATTGAAATATTTACATGTATATTAAACTATGTGTACATCATGTGCATGATAAACTTCAATCAATGTATAATTATACAGGTCACAATTCTATGGAATACAATTACTGCTTTTTACTGAGCGACGTTTCGACTAGGCTTCTCTAGTCATTATCAAGCTATGATAAAAAATGAAAATATGACAGGACAATATATACATGTACACCACAATGCTAAGTTAATGATGACAAACCAGGGATGTAACTTAATTACGTGTACCTAATGGTAATCTGATTTAATTGTACGCTAATAAGTAATAATACCAATTAACCTAAAAAATTGACTAATTGATTAATGGATAAGTTGTTGTGGAGTATACACAGTGATTAGTGGGTTTTAATAATACAAACGTTGCAAGAAAATGAAAATTGATGAAATGTTATCAACGACCCCTTTCACTGAAATAAATACAAATGGTAAAAGAATAGATTGTTGTGGAGTATTTACAACGATTTGATGAGGTTTTGATAATGACAACATCCCACGAAGATGAGATTTGATTTGTGTTATAACCAAAATAATTGATATGTGGATGTTGATGCGAGTGATTACACTGATATGCGAAAAACCCTTAGAACAATGACTGCACAATGATCAATAGTCCCCCGAAGGTTGACAATTTAAAATATTGAGTGGTACTTCACTGGATGTTATGGTGATGAAGAAAAGCAGGGTTAGAAATATTGAGTGCATTAAATTACAATAACCGCAGGCCTGAAAAGCAGAAATGCCTGAAAAGCAAAAATAGTTGGGAATTATTAGTTGTTATTTTTGCATATTATGATGGTTATTACAAACTTAAAGTTATTACTGGAATATTGATAAGTATTAAATATGATAAAAAAGAAAAAAGTAGAATTATGCTTAGCCTTGATTATGTGATAAGAATATCATACGCCCTGGGGAGGAACAATCCTTGATCTCTGTTCATCGTCGTTGGTTTGTGTCGTCGTATATGAATGGCTTCATGTAATCGGCGCGCTCTCTTGTTGCTTATATTCTTGCATAGTGGTTTTACGTTGGACCATTGGACTCTGTGGCGAGGGTTGGAGTTCAAATGTTCAGCTACAGCTGAGTTGTTGGTTGCTGCTTTCGACTTGTGGTCATCTATCCTTTTATTTAATGGTCGCTTTGTCTCCCCGATGTATGCAATCCCACAATTGCATACTATTTGATAAACACATCCCTTTGGTTGTGGTGGTTGTGTAGGATTTTGTTTACCATTGGCTCTTAATATATCTTTAGTGCTGTAGCTTTTTGTGAAAGTTACATCTATTTCTGGTTGTTGCATTAGTAGCCGTTTGATTTGGTAGGAGACTTTGCCGTTGAAAGGAAGGAAGATTCTGACTGGGGCAGTCGGGGTTTTTGGTTTAGCTGCACTCGCCGACAGGGTCTTGTTGATGGCGTTTGTCACAAACTTCCCTGGATAGCCGTTGAAATTTGTGAAGACATGTTTGAGATGATCAATTTCCTTGGAGAGGCTCTCAGGATCACATATCTTTTTCGCACGGTTCACCAGAGTTGAAATTGTGGCCGATTTGACGCTATTCGGGTGATTAGATTTGAAATGAATGTATTGGTCGGTGTGAGTTGGTTTCCTATAGACACTGGTGCGGATCGAGTTGTTGGTTTTAGATACACAAACATCGAGGAAAGGTAGTTGGTTATCATTTTCGGTTTCCATTGTGAATTTTATACGTGGGTGTTGCCTGTTGAGGTGTTGTAACAGTGTTTCTGGATCATCTTGTTGATTGATAATAACAAAGGTATCATCCACTTGCCTAAAGAAGCATGTTGGGGTTACGGTGGATGTTTGAAGCGCCTTCTCTTCTAAATCAGTTAAAAATATTTCTGAAATTAAACCCTGCTTTTCTTCATCACCATAACATCCAGTGAAGTACCACTCAATATTTTAAATTGTCAACCTTCGGGGGACTATTGATCATTGTGCAGTCATTGTTCTAAGGGTTTTTCGTATATCAGTGTAATCACTCGCATCAACATCCACATATCAATTATTTTGGTTATAACACAAATCAAATCTCATCTTCGTGGGATGTTGTCATTATCAAAACCTCATCAAATCGTTGTAAATACTCCACAACAATCTATTCTTTTACCATTTGTATTTATTTCAGTGAAAGGGGTCGTTGATAACATTTCATCAATTTTCATTTTCTTGCAACGTTTGTATTATTAAAACCCACTAATCACTGTGTATACTCCACAACAACTTATCCATTAATCAATTAGTCAATTTTTTAGGTTAATTGGTATTATTACTTATTAGCGTACAATTAAATCAGATTACCATTAGGTACACGTAATTAAGTTACATCCCTGGTTTGTCATCATTAACTTAGCATTGTGGTGTACATGTATATATTGTCCTGTCATATTTTCATTTTTTATCATAGCTTGATAATGACTAGAGAAGCCTAGTCGAAACGTCGCTCAGTAAAAAGCAGTAATTGTAT